ATATATATATATATATATATATATATATATAATCAAAGAACATGCAACGGTCTGTCATTAAATGTATGCGGATTTATACTGTTCTATTAAATTAACTGTCCATGAATCAATTTACAAACCCCTCAACGTTTTGTGACTCGTCTTAAACCTACAGTTTGGTTTTGCTGCCTAGGTTAGCACAGGTTCCAGAACTACACAGGGTTTTCGCGTTTTATTAGCCTTATCACCTTACAGAGATTCCCGGGTAGATGAACAAGATTTTGATGGTTGATACAAACAGTGACCTGGTTGCTGCGCCTATCTGTGTCGTTATCGTGTGGATGTATTAAAGTGCAGTGCATGACTAATGTGATTGTTGATCAATCCGGTCTGCGTGAACTTGCAGACGTACAAATGGCTCAATAGCCAGAGGGATAAAACCGGTTGTTTCGGATCTTACATGTATAGGGACATGTAAGCAGATAGTGGCGGTGTATTTGAATATGCGCCAATAGGGTTGATGGTTGGGACCCAACACGATGCACTGCAACTGCATGGGATTGTCAATACAATAAACTTTAAAAATTGTCTTCTGTTAGGTATTCAGATGAAATACAAACTTTTTAGGGTTTTTTTCTAAGTCTCGAGGCGCTTATTCTCAAACTAAAGAATTTTTGAAGTTTGCTGCTTAGGTTGGGTTTTTTGGGCGAACTATGTTGTTGCGAAAAAAAAATCCATGTGTGCCTCCATGGTAAATGGTTTATTTTGGGTTTACTTTTAAAGCAGAACAGAAATAATCAATCCACTCATGATTTACACAATCCCTGGGGAAGCCTCTGTCTTACATTTGCGCTTGTTCGATTCTGTGATCCAGAATTGTTTGCGGTTCCTAGGCCCACGCTTCTGACAATTTATTTAAAACACGAAGCAACTATCTTATTGCCTATGAGGAGAAATCGAAAGTGCATTCTTCTTACCATGCATCAATTTCTTCACATAGAAAACAAACTTTTTGGATGCCGTAGACGAACAAAGTAAATATGAGCTTAATGCATAGAAGCGGTTAAATATTAGGTCAAGTATTTAATTGAAGCGGTCAGTTTGCGAGATAATACGAACGGTGCCAGAATTAATATTTAATGATGATGATGATATAATTGAAAAATATCAAAACGTCTGGCCATTAAAAAATTACGCCGACCTAGCCTGTTGACTCGTTGGCATCGCAACCCACATACCAGGATTCCTATCAAGTAGCCATCATTTTTGCCTACTTTAAGCAGCAATGAAGAGAGTAAGTAAATCAACTTAAGAGTGGATACAAACGTGCTCAGACCTGAACACATCTATTGTGCATGCGGTTTGCAATGCAAACATGTACTTCCTTGAATGAAACACCCTTTTTATTGACCAAGATAATTATTTTCTTAAATGCACTGCATTCTGAAACCAAAAGCATGCAGCGAATTAACAGCGGTCGCGCCTGAGTGAACCCTGTTTACTGATCCGACGGTGACAATGACTCATCCCCCTTTCATTGGTTGTTGTTATCAGAAGCCTATCACCCGCTCACTCATCCACACACTAAGACACACGCTTAGGTGGCGTGACGCTAATAAACGGTCGTGTTCTCTGTCACCTCTTTTCACTCCATTCACTGGTTGTTACGGGCTATTAGCTAGAGGGTTGTAAGGTTGTGCTAAATGTCAAGCTGCTACAAGCAGTTACCTAACCAGATTTTTTAACAAAACTACAGAAAATCAGGAAAGCTCTTCAATTGTCAAGCCTATTCAATTTTGACTGTTTACCAATTTCCAATAAATAAATATCGTTACAGACATCGCAATGTGGATACATGACCGGCCTTTCATTCTCATTTTCCACAGGTTTTACCGTCAAAAATCTAATGGGTTTAACGTCTTTTTTCCGCAAAACGTTCGTTGGGACTTGAGACTCATTGCTTCCACTAAACTAAAATTAGCTTCATAAATTCATTTCCAGATTCCAAGTCAGTATTTAGTACAGACTTTCGGATCCGGATTTCTGCCCAAATGCCATCCTTTGAACATAATTATGGCTACACGATAACACGCCATCACCCATGTCATCGGGTAGCTAACCAAAAACATAGACAACGTTTGGGCTCGCGTGATGTTTTATGCTCTAGAATACTGGTAACTTGGACGAGGAGTAATTCATTACAGGAGAATGGGTTTTTGTGGGCCCCAGCATGTAGTCTCAAACCACGACAGGGACACGGGGTTTAAACTAGCCCGGATACACTACTTTGTTACCCGCGTAGATAAAGAAGACGATCAGAAATGGCAAAGACTGTTTACCAGATAGCTCAAAGAATTGGTGTTAGTCGCGCAACTTGGCATAAAAACGTGTCTGCCTAAAGAGGGTTGTCGATTAATGCAGTCTGGGTGAAATTGTAAAAGTATAACTGGTTGAGAGGTCAAATGAATGAAAGGAGGCGGTATACGCACGGGGATGCATGAACCGACGGTTTAGCAAGATCGATATGGACGGTGTGAAAATGTGGCTAGAATGACGAGGAAGTAGACGACTGCGTTATTGGACCTTAATTAATACGATTCACTACGCCGTGATCCGGTAATTAAACGATTTATGAAATATTGAGTGTGAAGGTTTTTAACACACTAAAAGAAAATGTTGGGTTAATGCAGAACATGATCAGTTGTAAACTTCTCCTATCGTTAACTCAGAGTTAAAACTTGATGACTGGAACGTGTTCGCTAAACAATATTTTATTTTTTTATCTTCACTCTTCATACTTTTTTGATATAGTTAGTGGTGGATTTCAAAGCTGGACCGCCTTTTGACACAGGAAATATAAATACAATCAGAGGAACCAAAGTACATTGGCTTAATATATTTGAAACAACTGATGGTATCACATTTATTACCAATAATGCAAGAGTCCAAAGAGTTGTGGGAAGATAGAGAAAAATCAACGACGGCGAACAGTGATCCCTTGAGGCCATAATCCGGTGTACTTTGAGGGGTCGTTGCTTAAGGGTGTCCCTCATTAAGTCGGAGTTCTTTTGGCTAGAATACATCCTGGGGCAGAGTTGACTACATAGACAAAAATGTGGTAATCACCTCAAGCGACAAAAAAACTACTTGTTGAGTGCTAGCAGACGGGTATTAGGTGCCGCATTTTCCCCGTAATTCTTGTCCTTTCCGGAGCTGCAGTTTTTAAGGAAGCAGTCAAAACGTCGATCTAGTTAGTGTGGTTAGTTCGAGTCATGGGGTGGGACCGCTGAATGAGCGAGATGCTAAACATGACAGTTTTCTTGCTTCAACACGTAACATGGCTTAGTAGGTTGCGCAGAGTAAAACCAACATCCAACCAACCACACATTGCATTTTCAACAAGCAATGATTAAGAAAAGCCTAGTGTGCATTGTTTCTGTGGCCCTCAAATTAAACTATGGGTAGGGATCAGTAAAATTCACTTTACGTCAGGAATAAAATGGGAGAAAAAGCCAAAACTCACCGGCGATCGCAAGGGCGGAGCGGTAAATCTGAACAACTGGCTTTGCGACAGGCTCACTGATGTTGGTCTTGAGGCATGACCGCGGTGGCCTTCCTGTGACTTGGGGGTTACGAAGAAACATCGGGTTATTTCCATTCGAGCCCATAATTCAACGAAAAAAATATCAACTTCCGTCCTATAAAGCCTTTGTCTTTCAAATCGCTATGCGAGTTGTGCCAGTTTCTTTGATATAGTATTTAATTGGTACTTTTCAAATGGTCGGCATGACATTAACAAACTAACTTTAACATAATTAATTGGTAAAACGAGACTCGACTCCGTGAGAGCCCACAGTCCCTTCTAGAGGAACGAACTCTTGATGCTTACTGCACATAAAATTAGTTTTAAAAGCAGTCAAATTTAATAGTTACCTGTCATTTGAGGCATTAGAGATTAAACCGAGATGAATCGAGCGAGATATGAAGGCTACTTCAGTTTAAAGTGCATTTGACCAGGGATGCCAATTTCTGGGTACAACATTCCATAATCTAATCATTTTCACGTAGATTTCTTTATCACCTTTGCGTAGCTTACCATAGTCGACTCGAAGTGCCTCGTCCTTGGCTTGGGGGTGGGTGGCGCTGGCCTTGACCTGTTCCCCTTGGGTGCCGATGGAGGCGTCACGGTGGGTGAAGCGGGTATAATGGCGGGTGGGAGAGGGAACTCTGCAGCAAAACACACGTCATACATCCTCAGAATTGCACAACCTGGTCATTTTAGTCACGTAACTGAGCAAACATACCGGTTTCTGCAATACTGCTGACTACAACAACCTTGTTACTAAATCTAATGACACTTACTGCAAAGGTTATATTTAAATCAATTCAACCACAAAGAGGGCTGGTTGAACAACTTTATCACATAAGGTGACGACTTAAAAGTCACAGTTTGCTGAATTTGCCAAAACAGCCTTGGTCGATTAGTCCGACAGAAGTGCACTACCTGAAGCCTGGGTAAGGAAAGAAGTCTGAGAGAGGCTACGGGTGGGGGGTAGCGGTTTCTCCATTGTTGGCCGGGCTGGACAGCTGATTTTCTGCTGCGCACGCCTGTTTGTGCTTCTGGCTGGACTCGCTGGTAGCTCCTGTTGTCCTGGCTTGAAATGTAAGAAACCAGAACTTGGGGCGTAAACCGCCAGCACATGAGATTTAATAAAAAAAACATGAATGTTTTTTTGCATTGAGTAGGGCTAGGTAAGGGTGTCACGTACTTACCACACAGAGGTGGGATTGACTTTTTCCAGGCGCATTCAAGACTAAAACAATTGATATAATTGGAAAGTGTTTATGTTGGTGAACGAAATCAGATTAAAATCAGTCGCAATTTCAATACGACCAAATGACCCATGTTCTTTGTTAGAAATTACACAGACACACCTGTCTTTTCCAGTGAAGAAACGTCAAGGTTTGATACCGATTTCTGCAAGAAAGGGCTGACCGCTCTCTCCGGTAGCTTCCCTCTTTTCGGACTTGGATGAACAGCAATAACTTCAGGCTGGAGTAACGAATGAAATATTAACTAAGAAAAATGATATGATGATGGTATTATCACATAACCCCCAATAAAAAATGTAAGCATCGCTTTTCATGACGTGGTATGCGGGTGTAAGGGCTGCAAAGCTTACCCAAGTCAGCAAAATTTTGAATATGAACTTAGGAAGCTTACAGACCAGGCGGGGTATTGGGATTTTGTTAAGGTTTAAGGGTCAATTGGTTAGGGTGGAAATTCACACTGCAAAAAAATTGGAACATTTTTAAGCATAAGTCATCACCTTTTTCTCATTTTTCCGTCGAAACTAAATGTAAAAAAGAGGAGAATTTGGTGTGGCAGGCTAATTTATTAAAATGGGCATCTGTTACCAATGATATTACTCCCAAAAATCTAGTTTTGACAAATTTATAAACACTTACTATATTTAGCTGTGACAGATAGCCCTGTTTAGGTGGTTGAGCCGAAGCTAAAGGGCAAATGAATGTCGGTTACAAATGAAATATTTTACTACTTAAAATCAAAAGTACAAAAACATTACGTCGATTTGAAAATCTGATTTGTGATTGTGATCGTTGACTTAAACCTCCAAGGTGGCGATCCGCCTCTCGAGCTACGCTTAAGCGCGATGCTTGCCTGCTCCTGATGAGAGGACTCGGTTGCCCTGAGGATGAATCTGGCTAAATATTCAAAAAATAGTAGGGTTATGTTTCGTTGAGACTTCAATTTATGTGGACATTAACTTTTACAAGTTTAATCTAAAAACACTTACAAGTTGGAGAACAGGAAGTGAATTTGGGTGGGCTGGTAGCGATTGTCCTACAAAAATACGGCATCTCGTTAATCTGTAGCCTCAACGATCAATAAAATAAGGGCTGACTACTGTCATCTGAAAACTTTTTTTTGCATTCAAACCACACTCCTTGGGTAGCTCTATCATATTCAGGTTCCAGAAAACCTGGGACTCCAGCCGGTAATACTAAAAGCACCTCTAAAATGCCTGAAGTTTATTCGTGTGAAAATGGAAGGATGAAAGATTTCCCTTTCCTAGTAAAAAAAAAGAGTTGCACTTTCCCGGTTCGAGCAACGGGCATCACAGCTCGACCTTTCTGAGTAGTTACTAGGCGATCAGTTAAAGTAACTGTGGTTGTTGATAATGTTGTTTATGGGTAAAGAGTTATAAACCAAGGCTTACTTAATGTCAAGTATTCAGTTTTGCAAACTTGGGAACAAGTTAGGTTTTATTTCTGAAAGTAATTAGGCAATTTATTAGGAACATTATCATTGATGTAAATGCCGATGACAGACCATTACCATTAACGTTTTTGACGTCGATAGCTGAGGCTGCAAGCCGAGGAGGATGAATTCCTAAGTGGGCTTCATTTTCTAGGGGGCGTCCACTGGTGGGGTCGGGTTGAAAAGAATTTGCCTACCGTGTAGAAAATATTAAGTTGGGAAGGAGTAACCTGTGTTAAAAAAGCATATTCCCGTCTCTATGCTTTAAGGAAGCACGCTATTCCCCGATTAGGGAGAACCACTGCGGGCATACACTCTGATAGCACGTAATAACAAGATTAATCAAACACCTACATTGCCTAAATAGATTTTAGTGTACTTGACTTCCATTCATATTCTACTTCTAAGACAACGGCTATTATGGTGCGCATACTGCTAATATTTTTGGCCCCTAGATAACTAATATAATATTTTTTATGAAGGACGGAAGTGGACTGGATTTTCTACAAAAAGCCAAATTGTATCAAATGCTAAGGCTGTGTTAGAAGTAGGTGGGACATCTGCATTCACAAATTTATTCACAAATTGAAGCAGACCAAAATGAAATCTATTGATGAGTGATCGGAAAGTCTATTGGTTAGTTAAATAGAGAACACTTACGGCAGGAAGTAGGCTGCTTTCTTTAAAATCTTCGCTAGGATATTCAATCCTCCTTTCATTCTCATGGTCAATTTGCCCCTGTTCGTTGATGGGACCGAGGATTACTTGTTCACCAGTAGTCTCAGGCTTCATGATCTCGGCGCCTTCGCGTGCATCTTGAAGATGTCGGTTCGCCGGCGAAAGAGCCCGTCTTAGGACACTTCTGAGGGCAGGTTCGTTAACACAGAAGTGCGAGGCATGCCAACCGGCCTTCTTGAAGCGATCCTGCAGTGTGCTGTGTGCCCAAAGGGCTTGGAGTAGAAAACGAGCGAAACGGACCGTCTTGTCGCGATTGGAGGGCACAGGGTCGGTTAGATCCACGTAGAGACCTGTGTGCGCGATTGCCAAGCACGGTGGTACACCTCCACAGTCGAGAAAAAGTCTGAAGAGGATAAAACAGCAACAATTTAATTGAGGAAATCCATCTAACAGACACCCTTTGGTTGCCGGAGCTGGGGATTGTCAATTTATTGCCTGAAGCTATTCAAGTTGGATATCTTAATGGCATGAAAATTGCAATTTATCTCTCCGACAAAGAGCCGGATTATTGATTTGACTTTCAGTTAATAAGTTCCCATAGAGAATAACAGATGCCTAGGCGTTATTGCTACCACACGTTGCTCGAGAAGTGACAGCTGTGAAAATTGCCGTCACCTGATGTAGTTTACCCGTGATAAACTGGTGATTTCACAAGGGGTGACTGGGACTGAGTAGCCAAGACCAGAACCATTTACGTCTACCTTAGTCCCAGTAAAAAATCAAGCTGCGGTTTTGTAGTCCCACAGTTTTGCTTCGGAATCAAAAGTTAAATGACACTTGGAGTAAAGTGGGAAGATGCTTAGTTAAATAATAAAAGTGGCAAAGAATTGCCACCGTAGTTGTAGCAATACGTTTTTAAAGTCCAAAACGAAATGAGAGACGTTGTGAGTTGACCTACAACGCCTGATCCGAGTCTTCTTTGATCAGCACGTAAATTGTGGCAAGGATCGCAGACGTGGTACTCAGACTGACAATGTCGTGGGTAAGTGCCGCAGTGTCTTCAACATGAGCGCTAGTATGCTGCAAAACAGGCAGTCTGGCGATTAGGAGGCGCATTGCATAAAGGGCAACTAGACTCCGCATCTCCTTGTCCTCGGCGAGATTTCTCAGCGCTGTCGCGGTGGTCATGACAACATTGTCCGCCTCGGAGATTAAGAGAGCCGCCAGAACCAGGACGTTATCACCATTTCGGAACTATCAAAGTAATATCAAGGATCCTTCTTATAATAATGTAGCTTAGTCAGCAGAGGTACTGCTCCTGAAGCAATTCGTTAAATAAATACGTTTTGACAAAGGAAACATTACAGGAGTCGAGATGGTGGATGTGCAGTAACTTACGGCAACCGCAGAACTTAAACCATCACTATGAAATGGGCAGGATTTCGTTTTATAACAAAATGACTTGCAGCATTTACGGATTTAGTTTGTGGCTTGTAATACTACGCTACCATAACTGTCGACCTACTGAAATTTCCACAACGTGTTAATAACACGTTTTGTGGGAAGGTGAGCAGAGCATGGGCGGCTTACGTGGCCACGGACTTCAGCACTGGGCTGCCAGTCGCAAGCTGTGAGATTTTGAATGGCTCCTGCAACAGCCTCGATGGTGATTAGATTTGTCGACCGACGAAGGATTGAAATATAGTTTTCTACTAGCTCCTTCGCCCAGAGCAGCCGACTCCCTTGAATCGATTCTAAGTTCGAGGGCGGTCTGCTCAAGTAATCAGGACCTCCGCTCATCCAAATATTCGTCGCGGGTTGTTTTCTAAGGTCTGAATATTCAAATAAAATAAATAACCAACTCTATGTTTTAAAAAATTAGAAATCTGTTCACTTTTTTTTAAAATAACTCTAGGTGTTACTCCGTGACTAAATGAAATTTAACTCACTTTATGGGATGTATTTATTTAAAATATTTTAAAAATACTGAATAAATATATTTCAGAATGCTCTTAATGCCATAATTAGAGACACACTTTTTAGATTATAAAATATTAATTTGAGCAACACGTAATAGCAAAAAGAATTCCATCGTTTGGAAACCAGCTTATGTAAAAATGTGCTCCATTGCCGATCTACTCCAATTTGATCAAGAGCAAATAACACAGTGAGTAAAAAGGATTGGAAGGTAGATTTTCGTAAAATAAACAGTCCCCTTGATAATTAAAAGCAAAATAGAAGAGAAAATCCCAAAGTTCAGCAACTTTGGTAAAATGTAGTGTTCTTAAACAGATTAATTAAAAAGCAGGCCATAACGAGCATCTTTAAGCCATCAGTGGTTTGAATGCTGCATCGCGGTTTTTTTTATCAGCAGTTCTTAGAAGAGCTACCAAATTGATGTATTATACCGCGTGGAGGAAACTCTTATGCAATTGCGTTTCCCTTCAAAAATTTGGTCTGTGTATACTTGATTCGGTAGGGATCAAAAACCAAGAGTTGCAAGTACGCATGACAACCAATACCATGAAACATGGCTACATTTGCATATACAGACGCACAACTTCACTTGCCGAAATTTGACGGTAAATACTTGCAATCAAGACTCCACCGTACCCGAGGTTTGTCGTTACAACTCTTCGACCCACTGAATTCTAAGCATCAAAGTTAAGAGTTATTGCGTTTAACCCAAAACTAAATATGCGCAAGCAATAACTGCATTGCACTCTCGAGTAAGCGTAGAAGTACACTATCTTCGGTGTAATCAAGCACTGTCGCATGCGCCACGAAGGAACTTACTTATTTCTATTCCCCTATGCTGACCCCTTGGACTCATTCGTGGATGCTTAAAGACGAGTTTTCTCTCTGGAAGGGGGGTTGTAGCAGCGCGCGAATAGGCGGCTTCTCGACGAACCAAGTAGGCGGGGTCGCGTATTTCCTGCAGAGCGAAGCTCAGATTTCGAAGTATGCAGACGCAGTTTTCCAAAGCTTTCCCGTCAAAATCATAGTTGTCAACACACTGTGAACAGACGTAACTAAGAGCAGCCACCAGACCGGTAGTTTCTCGAAGCCGCTGCCGGCATTCAGCGTTATCATCTAAGATGTTTCTAGGAGGCAAATGTCAGAAGCAATAAGACTGAACTAAGAGGTGAGTTTTAGTAGATTAAACGGACTAGAAGCTTTCTTTAACATCAAATGGCTCCAGTTTGAGCCTGCTTTATAAGTTACTTGTTTAGAGAATAGAATAAGGGGGTTTTGGAATTCCAGAAAACCTAGTTCTACATAATCTACAGGCATTCAGAGTCAGATTAAGGTAATTTGGTAAAGTCCACCAAGCGAAAACGACGTTTGCCAGAAATTTTTCTAATTAATTAATTCAAGTGACGGTTTTTAGCAGGAGACACCACAAGTTCAAGTCATACCTAATTGTTCCTGTTGCGTAAATGAATGCTGGCAGTTCATATTCAGGCGATGCCTCCTCGCTTTCAGCAGAAGATGTCTGCTTTCGTGAAACCCCCGAATAAGGGACAATAATGGACTTGGTGAGGCAAGGCACCCCATGTCTGCTGATTATGTCTTTGAACTCAGGGTACAGCGCCAGATTGCAAAGCGCTGCCGTTGCAGACTCAAGGATTTTGTCTTCAATGGTATTTTTTGCTTCAAAAACTTGACTCGATGACATATCATTGGCCGTAGCCTCGTCAATAGCAATAAGTATGTTAGATATGACTGATGCATCGTCTAGTTTTTTCTAAAAAATAACAAGTCATAAAATTTACTCTTATTTCTGCTGTGGCCTCATGTGATAAGTTGCGTAAAGCATAAATACTATGTTTCTTGACTTCCAAGTCATTAGAGAGAATCAGCGTTGATAGGACTTGAATAGCGTCAGCTTCCCTACAAACAAAAAAGCAAAAATTTTGATTCCTTTGTCTTTAGCAATACTAGTTGCTAGTTTATAGATGTATATGGCTACGAGATGTCTAGAATTTATAAATGAACTGGAGCAATGCTTTTCAACCTCCAAAAAATACAAAATCGCATAAGAGTTACGCTTTCGAATTAGAATTGGGCATAGTGTATGACGCGCAAAATACTAATTTTCAACGTACGCAACTTTCGATTTTATTTCAGGATTGTTGTAAGTTATGTGGCAAATGTACGCAGCAGCATCAGCACTAACATCAGGATGTTCCTCCGAAAGGAGGCCAACGATGTGTTGAATTTCTTCACTGTTAATGTCAATCCTTAAACCTTTTTCGACATGTGTATCTTCAGCTTCATTTGTTTCTATAAGTGAGCGGTAAACGACAAAAATCTACCTCCTCCGGAAAAGTGGGCTTCTGTATAGCCATTAGCTTTTGAATTGAGTTCAAATTCAGTAAAAAATTGGTCACAAGTCCCATCACCGGAAGAACTGCCTAAATAAAAATGCGGTGGTTGGGCAGCAGTAGTCGAATTCGATGGAATATTGGCATAAGCAGGTGGAAGAGGGGGCAAGCCAAGCGAGGCCAAACCATCCTCTGACTCTGAAACCATTACTTAAGTAATGGGATTAGCTATAAGGCATAAAAGAGGGATGATTATTCATCATTGACGGATAAAGCATAATGGTTACAGTCAACGAACTCAAACAAAAATGGCATTGACTAATGTTTCAAAGTTATTAAAAGAGATAAACCATTAAATAAAATTATCTTGATCTCACATGCAAGTTGCAACAGCAATAAAAAAATTAAGACCTATTTCTATTCACTTTCTTCGTAGCGAGGGACAGCAGTCAAGTTTTGGGGTGCTGAAATGGCTTAAAAACTAACCGCATGTTCTAGCCAGGTGCTTTCTGCCACGATAAAAACCTTAGTGCTTCCGAAATGTAAAAAGACTTATTGAGAGAGACACAACCTAAAGTATTTTTAACCTCAGCTAACACTAACACGTACATATTTTCGTAGCAGGTCCACACAAACAAATCCGTTAATTCTTTGAATTACTGCGATGCTTTAGAGTCATTGTTAACTAAACCATATAGCGGCAGGTGAAGTCCCAAATACTAGGCGGTACCTTGTTTCCAGCAAAGTAGTTCCCACAATTACGTACAACGACAGATTTAAAAAAAAATGTTTAATGCTACTTAGATTCCAAAAAGCTAAAGACACAAGAAGATTATGATTTTTTTAATTTTAGACTTTCCTATTTCCTGACTATGTAACGTTGGGTAACTTTAAGTCACAGCGAAAAAATCGGTAACTGTAACAATTTTCTAATAACGTGAAATTCTTGGAAAATCAGATACCTGCTTCAGATAAAAAAATAAACTTTGCAACGTGAAGAATGCAAATAGCTGAAAGTGACTGAAACTTTTAAAGTAAATTGAATGGCCTCTCCTGCAAATAAATTATAAATCTAACACACAAACTACAGAGAAATGTGCACAAGAATTGCTGTATCAACATTACATGCCAAAACACTGTTTAAAATCAATATATGCCCAAAAATAAAAACAGTCTTTTTCAATTTTACTTCCCACAAAGACCACAAGTTTCAGCAACTTTTATAAACATACCTAAAATTTTTCTTAATTTATGCATGATAACTAAAGACCTTAACTTAAGAGCTCAAATCAATGTTATTTACCGCTCTAATCAAAAAATTTTATGGCATGTATAATATGATTCTGACTTGTAACTGGCTTAAAAACTTGTTGCATTGCCTAAACATTTGCAATTTTTGATTACTGACAGCAAATATTCTACTATTATTGTCCTTATCAACATACAAAAAGAGTATATCATCCAAACTACAAAACCTAAAATCCTTTAAGCAAATTTACCTTTAATCAAATCGAATACAATAATTATTGCGACAAACCTTAATTTCAAAGCCGTTTAGTGTAAGCAGATTGCTAGAAGCGAATCAGCCACGGAGGCTTCAAGGCCACTCACTCATTCCTCAGTTGTTTAAAAGTAGAAAAGTAAAAAATATTAATAGTCTAAGCTAGCAAACCGTTTACCTGTTCCAAGGTTTACGTTTTGCATTATTAGGCAACTTAAAATTAGTGGCACAAATAAGACCTACAGACAATTTCATAAATTATCCGATTTTTTTTGGAACTTTCGTTTATCAATGACCTCTCAATTTATTTGTTCTCTCAAACCTTCGGTGAGCTTAACCAGGCATTTAATGACTTTGAAAATATTTGTGTAAGTATACAGATCACATTGACTTAAAAACCATTAATCAAAATTCAAAGTGGTACAAAATTTTTACATTTGCTAAGATAAAAGGTTTCGATACTTTGTAATTAAGTGAACTGCAAACAGCTACCTTACACTAAGTTTTTGCTGGCCTTTAACTTATCATATAATTTTTGAATAAGAACTATTTAGGAAGCTATAAGATTTTTCAAGTTATACAATAGTAATAGTTTGAAACGAAAATATTTAAGTGTCAGAATGTATTTTATTATCACTAGCACCTAATTCTGTTTACAAATAAATTTCTGGTATATAAAAAAGTCTTTTTTCACCTAAAAAAGTCGTGCCGAAATTCGACCAACTCAAACCCCTGTCATCCTTCTTTAATTAAATTTCTTGATTAACCTAAATTAGGAAAGGGCAAAATGCACCCACGTGGATAATGTCAAAAGCTCGTTTTTTAATAATCAATTTTCCATTTTTATTCACTAAGCTCTTATATGAAAAGATCTCTAATGTTTATAAAACTCTTTTTTCTGTATATATTTTTAGGCATTAGTCTTTAAAAGTCCCAAGCATCCCAGCATTTTACGAAATCACGGAAGTAAAATATTCTAAAAATTGCGGTTTGGAAGATAAAAAATTAAGCTTTTAATCTTACTTCTAGGTTTTGCAAATTATTACACTTGGCATTGAAGCCAAAAATCCAAATCACATGATTAAAATTCTAGTCCTGGGTTAAACACATGGAAACTAGTGTCCAGATACCTTTCTGCTGTGTTGCCTGTTAATCAACTATTCAGATTAATATTTAATTTTTTTAGTTATACTTTGGAAAAAAGAGTTGCAAGTGCACCAAATAACCCCCTAATAATTGTGAATTAAGGTGAAATTATATGGCTTGCTTAACTGATGGGTTTTAAAAAAATAAAAGCGAATGCCAGACATAAACTCTTAATTTTAACTTCGCTTTGGTCAATAGCTCATAAAAGTGACAAAATCTGTGGGCAACCTCATTTGCTGCATGCGCTCACGCATAATTTGGCGTAATGCATATAAGATAACATTTATCGTCGACTTTCGAATTGACTTTTATACCATGCGGCTTTGACGTGTCATATCCAGCTCAGACGTGAGATCTGATGAAAAGTGTAGTTATTTACAACCAATAAATATATGCGTAAGTGGTATATTATTTGAAAAATTCTTTTAGAATTTTTCCGAGATGTCCTATGTTTTTGTCCCTTCTAGTTTTAACCGCATGTAAACACTTAAACGCACATTGTAAAACCGTTACGGCTCTCTTTTTTCAATTTAATGCCTGGCCTGTCTGTGCATTTAGCGGGATTGGAATCATTGCGTCTGTGGCATCGACAAATCAACGAAGACCACAGGAACAATCGGCTCTGGTTAAATTGCAGTTGGGGAGCTATTTAGAACGAACGACGTGGAATTCGTTAAGTCAACAATGAGGGGAACAAAACCCATATTATTGACAACGTAGGTAGTGTGTGGATTCTATGATGTCTGACCTACAGTTCCGGGCATAATTAGGTAAATGAAACTTGGTATGTTGAACGCCTTCTGTATTGGGCACGGACATTCGACATCTTCCATGCCTCTGATTGGCTACTGATATTTTTTGTAGGCCATTCAAGATTACACTGATTGCAGAACAACAGAACAGGCTTTATTGACCAATCAGGAGCCAGAGCCACGCGTCAGGCGCATTCCATCCGAGTCCTCCACGCTGGCCACGCTGCTCATTATATACTGCTCCTCAGTCGTGTCCTTCTCTGGTTGACTGCCTTCCTTTCCCGCATGCCATTGGATTGCAGAGAGACACAGGATTGGCTGAGGCCAGGTGGTCCAATATGTCTGCGCCCGAATCCGACGCCGCATTTCATATATATGTGTTTCTGGCTGAATCTGCGGCTCATTTCAAAGTGGTAAGTTTTTGCTCACAGTGTATTTGTGCCAAGTGTACTGGTTGACATTGTTGAAGAAAAGGTAAATTGTTTTTCTGTGCTTTACTGAAGCGGACCTCGTCATTTCTCCAGTCGGTTTTTTATGTACTTTTGTTGGAATCAAACTTGAACATTTAATCACACCGTCCTGGGCCTCGTTATGGGGATTTTAGTTTGTTAACTCCGAGGTTACTGCTTTAAATACATCGTTTGCTTAAAGTTATGCCGGCTTCGTAAATATTGCGATATTTATTCTGGTTGTAATGCCTTGAATTTTTTAGCACCTTGACTGGATTAATTCGTTCATGGTGTTCTTGGTTATGGATGATTTTTGTATTTTAGAGGCGAAAATGCTAATAAAATCTTCAAACCGGTTGAACTGCCACCATAAACGGGAATCTGAAAATGACACCAGTAAGCGAAGTGTGATTATTTAAACCGCTCCCATGCTAGCGCTTTCAGGGAAGGAAGAAAACGACGAAGACAATGACTCAGAAAAGTATTTTCTTCGAATCTCTTATTTTGGTTGTTTATAGGGAGTATGCGGAAAAGTTTGAGACATTTGCATCGCAGCTCAAATTGTTAAACGAGCGGACCCACCCAGGTACATCTGTTAACTCGCTCATTGCGTAGAATTTATTAAATCTTCTAAACGGATAGAAAACTGGCTAGCAGATCAGAAATTGCGTATCCAAATTCTTCATGACTATAAAATTGATGAGGTCCACAACCAGTATGATCGCGAAATCCGAACGTGCGACCGCGATTGTGGGGTAGATATCCTATTTCCCACTTCAAATTCTTCAAGTTAGATCGAGAAAAAAAAGATACAGGAATACCTTATCTCATTATGTGAGGATTTGAAGCGCCGATTGGAACACGACAAAAAAAGTATCGAGCTGACAGCGACAGGGGGTAAGTTGCTGTCGTTCTCCCATTTATAATTTAATGACTAATTTTAATCGTTTTTTTCTGTTTGGTACCATCGAGTTCAATGTTATGAACAGTTAATAATTTAAATCCCCTCTGTATTCCATTTTGCTTCGTTAAAATTTTTAACTTATTGATCTGTATTCTAACTCAAATTCTACTTAACTGAAAGCTACTTTGTCGGCGGATAATGCGGTCACAATTCGTTATATTTAATCATTTCACCCAGACCAGTGTATGATAGGTTTCGAATGATCACTATATTGTCATTGTATAGTTTCGGTTGTAGTGACGTTTCTTGTGTCCATGAGGAACTAGAACTTTTTTATAAAAAGAATCGGTTAGACAAAATTCCTCGTTTCGAATGGCCTGCTGTTATTACTTCGCTTGTATTACTAATTGTTAACAAAATACTACTGAAAAAACCTGCCTTGTATTTAGATGTTCTTGAGGTAAAGCCTACAATCACCCGCAAGTTGCGCCGTCGTACCCCTGAGGTGCCCTCCTCAATTGTCGGCTCAAGCATCATTGGTGGTGGAAGCAAATTTGGCTATTGGGGTGACATCCAGCTGTACAGCGCTCCTTGGTCTCCTGCGGCCTTTAGTGCCACTGCACTCAAGACAAGCACAGAGCTTCCCCCCAGCCCTTGTCCGCCTACTGGCGCAGCAGCGGATCCCACAGATGAAACGCCGTCCGCCAATATTGTTTCTGCCGCAAGCACCTCCTGTAACATATTTGGCAGTCTGGGAGTAAGTGTTGAGGACGGAAATTGTCTCGTAGGGCACCTTATTGCCTCCATGAATGCTTCAGCTGGCGGAAATGGGCACGGGGAAGTAGGTACTCTGTCCACCTCGGGCGCTTTGTTCGCTCAGGCGGCCCTACCAAATAGTTTGAGTTGCATTGGTGGCGCTAATTCGAGCTCTGCCTCTGTGGCAGCAGTTGCTGCCGCAATTGTCCCAAGTTTGACCGGATTTACAGGGGTTCAAACACCAAAACGACGAAAGCAGCTTAACTCGCAGCCATTCACCCAGTTGAGCCTGCTACTACCTGAAACAGACATTTATTCTGATCTGACATTAATACATAGGTGAGTTAGTTTCTTTTATGCATTTGTTTCTAAACTTAGCGTGTCCAGGTTTCATAGTTACATGCTGTTGCTTTCTGCGATGCCTTTTCGTTAGTGCTCGCGCCTTTTCGCACTGTAGGTTGATGGATTTACCTTTATTTACTGGGTAATTTTTATTTACGGTGTCCTACGTTGACCTTTCCCTGAATGTTGCATCAGCGTCATTATCGAGTTTACGCAATGGTGTATGTAATGAGGGGCCCATTCTAGTTTCATGAAACACAAAACTCATTTACGAACACTTTATTGTTTTAACCAGCTTTATTTACGTCATATTTGGCTCGAATTCTAAAAAAATGCGTTTAAACACAAAATCTTCGTTCTTGTTAAGCTTTTTACATCACTTGAAAATGCTAATTCGAAGAAATTTCGACATTCATCGATTTGCCCCTCAACCCAAATCGCAATCTCTTAATTTAAGGCAATTACTGTTCACTTCCCCTCTCAATTGCTATCTACGGGCTTTTATTAAGTTGAATTTCCTGCTAAAATAGCGTCCTTGGTGCATCTTTGAACTTTTTCCTGTTTGTTTTTTTTTTCATTTTCTTCCCACACACCGTTCTCCCTCTGTCCTCAAGCGTTCTCAATCACCCCAATCTTCTCCAGCCAACTCAAATTCCCTTTGATAGACCCTTTTCTCAATAGTCTTTCCCTTATTGTCACTGGTTCTGTTTTACTCGTGCCCATAACGCAGGTAGCCGTTTCCACAGGTTTCACAGTCTCGTTTTTCTGGCATTTTTAACGGTGCCTCATCTTTTTTTATAGTTCTAATTATGAACTAAAAAGTAATTGTATGTTTGCTAAACACTTTGCAATTATAACGCGCTACTTCACTGTTAGTTTCTCATCAATTACCTTTGCAACAGAACTTGCGGAAAGCCGTCGTCCGCTGGCGGTTCAAAAAAGCACGGATTCGATGGGCCGGGCTCCTCGACCTCGAACTCTTCCCGCGCTGGAGGCGCAAGTCCCCACCCTTCTCGAGGTGATGAAACTTCCTCTAGAAGGCGGGTCGACACCGAAAATCGAAGGGAATCACACCGAAGCTCTCACCACCACCACCATCACCACGAATCGAGCTCCATGGAGGGCTCTAGTGGTCCCGCTGTCTGGATTGATGACGGTCGTCTTTACATTGGACAGTCCTGGTGAGTGGGCGTACCTAGACGTCCTTAAAGGCTTCCTCCTAACGTTAGTATCAATTAGTATTTTTAACTTATTAACTTCTCTAAGCCAAAGTACCGGACCTGTTGTTTGCCATCGTCAGGATTCATAACCACTGTTTCTTTTTGTGTTTGAGTGAATTCGATTATCAGTTTCATGACGTCTTTATTTAATTACGGTTTGATGTCGGCTGAATTTAGTTTACTGAGTCTCCAGAAATATCGCTAACTTTTCATCTACTCATTACGTTGAGCTTGTCTATTTTACACGATGCAGGTATTTCTAGATCCTAACTGGCAACATTCAAGTTATAAGCAGACAAGGGTCAGAATTAGTAGCGTAGAGCTGTGACGTTGCAATTTCATTCATATAAATCTCGTCCGATCCCATTCTGACTAATTGTAATGCTCATAGTTACTGAATCTAATCAAAGCCCACAAAACTGGAGACGCGAAAACAGCATACGTCTCATCTTCATGCAGTGAAGTGTACGACATCACTGTCCTCTGGCCGTGCTACTAATCCTGCCCTTTTAACTTGGTTACTGTAAAACGTTTAAAAAATTAACACGTGTTATCTATTGTTTCAAGTCTGTGTCTATTTTTTGCCTACTTTTTCCAGCTACCAACAAGGAACTCCTGTGTACTTGGAGAGCCACGGATGCAGCGGGACTGTGGTTGCAGTTGGCGCCCAAGGCGTGTCAATAAAGCGCAATTCTGATACTGGCATCATGCGAATCACCGTACAACAGCTCAAACATGGCCGATACGTTCTTGCTCCATTAAAACAACGTCAGTAGCCCTATCCTCGCCCCTCACATAGTTCCGGTTCTTGCCTGTACATACCCCACGCGACTTGTATATTCAACGTAGTGGTCTTAACGGGCAGCGGTATTTGATTTACCACTGTATTTATAACGAAAATCTACATTGTTTTATCCCGTGTGCTAATACTCATAGCAATTAATTGACTTTACAAGTCTAGGTACACACAGATCCTTTTTATTATTATTCTGCTTCTTGTAATCCACACGCTGCTAAACAAACGGTAGGTTATTAAACAACCTTGTTACACACGATCAAAGCAGCCAGTAGAATTCTCGCAAACCTGCTGAACCAATGCGTTCCATCGAAGGTCCTTTAATAATTAACTGTCTGCTCTTGTTTATTCCCGGTACTAGGCCGTCAGACAGCCGAATCACTAGACCTGTCCGAAGTTTCACGACAGCAGCTGTGATGCATTTCCGGCAATGGCAAATGCGCGATAAAAACGAGCAACATCCACGTAACGTGGGGTTTCAAGTGCGTGTATGAATGCACTGGTCATCTTCTACTCGTGTAGGATTTCTTGGGTTAATTTGATCTTCAAATTGCGCATGAGGCTGTTTCCTATGTCTAGTTAACTTAAAGAGATCACAGCGAAAATAGAGACAAGACCTTGATGGAAAAAGCTCGCAGAAAAGTAGCCTCCGGTGTCCACGTTGCTTAATTTCGTCCAATGTTCGCCAATTTATGTGTGAACGATCTTCGCATCTGAGATTTCCGTTTAAATTTCCATCGCATCAAATTCTGAAACCTGGACTTGACATTTCTTGAAGGTCACGTCCATGATGAAGTTACAAATCACAGCGAGGCAATAACGTGCAGTGAATCACGAATTTATGCACATTTGCCAGTATGACTACAATAGCGCTACTTCCAAAGCAAACTTTATGCAGGATTCAGTTATACGTACGCATGTGGCAAAATTACGTATGTCAGCATTTTTGTGAAATAGTATCTTCTTCAAGAAGCTTTTACTCCGCGAACTTGATATCGATTGGAGGCATAGGCCCTGGTTAGAGACTATCAAGTGTACTTTAAGGTACAGAATGAGCGTAGAAGCCTGGATTGCAGTTCACCCCTGATCCGATTTGCTGTGGCTGCTTCAACGGTTCAGTGTACATGACTACGGATTTAGCTTTAAATGCGGTCGCTGCGTGATTGCAAACATCAAAGTAACGCCACGATTCATTGCCTTGAAATTGCATTCGAATCCCACAAAAAACACAATTGATGGTGCGTTTGATGTCGGTGCGGCTTACGAGGCCTCTAGAATGCACCATTCAAAAACAATCCAAAAGTACTAAGATTTTACAAATACTCAACCCAAAATATGGTACCGAAGATAACGAACATTTCATATATATGGATTTTGAAATGGTCTCCTTACCATTTCATTATTTTCTTCGGAATGACAGGAGATGACTTAAAGTAACCCTGTATCCTCCTAGCTTAGCTGTTTCCTACACTATGAGAGGCCTGGCATCATTTTTGTTGCAATACTTCCAAGTGTTTGAGAAATAACTCAGGGTAGTTGAACGGAGGTATTCTATAAGGAAGGAACTGGCGTAGGTAACAATCAAACTAGGTTGTGGGTGAGTGCGTCAGTGCAAAACCTGGTCTTTGGTCACACTAGCTGGAGCCTTGTCTACATTGTTGTCCTGTTTACTGTTGACGCCCGTCATGTTTGTCGACGTGCGCGTGTCGTCCTCGGGGTCTGCTGATCCTGCGTTCCAGCTGAGGAGAACTTCAACTGCATCCGCAAGGCAACGAACTTCATCACGGAAGAGTGGAGCCGAACACATTGGACAGACGAAATCCGGCTGATTCTCAAGGAAACTGAAATGCAGCGATTATTGCATCTTGAAACAGGAGAAATTTTCATCTTATGTATTCAATCGGTAATTAAACGATTATCCGGCTAATAGTGGTTACCAAATTATTTGTTGCGAAGATTTATGAAAAGCAACAATCCCTCCGTAATAGATGTTTCTGGAACACTGTGATTTGCTATTCGCGAATTCGAGAGATATTTGTCAGAGTACAAATCAACTTACGTGATTAAGTTTGAGTAGGACATTGGAAAATCGCAGTTAGGACAGAGGGTCAAATCGTTCTTTACAACATGTTTGCCCTGAAAAAGACAACAGCACTAAAAAATCAGACTTGAATCTATGACCATTTGAAAATTCGGTGTTGTATCCTACAGTGCGATCACTGAAAGAGTGCAGCTTGCTTGCTAATTGACAATTCGAGCCAGGATAGGAGTAGACCATTCAAATTTCAGAAAATTGAAACAAATAAATCCCACTTTTGCTGGTTTAAACATCACCTTAAAACCTACTAGAATTTAAGTAGTAAGCTCATTCAGCCTTAAGCGAATGGCATTAGGATCGTAAAAATCAGGATAAGGCAAACGGAAGGTGACAAGCATTTTATAGCCTATTAATTACATGACGTCTAAAAGAAAAAAATTAAAGTTAACTACCGTGAGAGTGCAGTAAGGTAGACTAGCCCTGCACGACCCACAGCTTAGTTCGTAATCGGGCACAGAAGTGGAGCAGAAGGGGCATTCCGAAGCGGCATTCAGTAACTCCATCTCTTCGGATGATGGTTTCTCTGGTCGACGCACAATGCCCTCAAACTTGCGACGATACCGCTGGTCTATCTTGTCCCGGTGTTCCGGGTGCAGCAGCATTGAAGCATACGTAAACCCAGTGTGTTTCAGATTCACTTTGTGGCACTCGATCACAGTGCTCGTCAGAATAGGAACGATGTCTAAAGTTGACCAGAGGTAGATTCATTCTTATTTGAGCTCGACGGACGTCACTTGCTAATGTACCAACTGGGCATCTTAAAGGCATAGCTTATCTATTTATATTAGTCCTAATTGACATAATAGAAATGTACTCTGGTACACGATTTTGTCTAAGTAGCCCAATTTTACTTCCTAGAATTTCATTTCTGTAGTAAGGGTTGCACTCCATAATTAACGCTTTGACATTAAAGCTTCAAAAGAGGGAAAAAAGTGGAATGCAGCTTTAAAGGTTAATTTCCAGTTTTAAGAATTTTCGAGTATTTTTGATGGCATCGTTACTTTATAAAGTAAACAACAAAAAGACATACGGGATGGAAATTTACTGATGTTTTGAGCAATGCGAATGAGGAGTCTGGCAGCAATTAGGTGATTCCCAGTTTTGATATGCAGCTAAACACAAAGAAATGCTAGGTTACCGATTTGTTGAACTTTTTTAACGTTGTGACACTGAGCCCTGTTGTATACAAGACTAACATTGTATATATGCAGTAGATTATTTTGTATAACTAGAAAATATAAGCACTCAATTATCACACCAAAGTATTCCTTATGACGAATAATTTTAAATACTAATAAATAATAGTTATGCAGTGATAAAATCAGAATCCACTTTTTGGTAGAGCATTTACTCCAGATGTCCTTGAACAGCAAGATATAGATACTATAGCGTCATTTTATTACCCCAAGTATCTTGTTGCTGAAAACGTTAAATCTGTTTTTATGGCTGGAATATAATAGGCAACTCACCGATGTAAACATTCTATCTAATTTGTTACCTTTGCCAAAATATAGGAGTGGAGGAGGCTCAGGTTGTCCAGCATTTCAGCAGGCACCTTGATTCCACACTGTCGCAATTCTTGCACCATAGAGAAGAGGAGATCGTGCGCGTTTCGGTAGTTTCCGTTGTTCTGCTCCTCGCGGGCAATTATGACGGCCGTGCGCGCGGCCTCGCGGTACTGCTGGAGAGCCATGTAGAGGCGAAAGAGGTACCTCGGGTCCTTGGCGATTCCATCTGTCTCGCCCATCAGGTAGGCGATGACCATGTGAGTTAATTTCTTGTCCTTCGCCTCACCCACTGCCTCAATTGCCAAATCCAGAGCCGGCGAAGAGTCCGAATAAGGCACACGAAGGAGATGCCGAACCGCCTAGCATTAAGGCAATTCGCAACCTTAGTAATGTTACTTGGTGGCAGTGTCAATTTTTTTTAAAGACATGAAGCCTTTCTGACTGAACATTTCAGCATGTGTTTCACATTAGACAAGCTCATCAGGTCAATTTGCCATCTACACTGTTAGTGCAAAATGACCGAATTATGTCAATTGTTTTGTTTTCATCGTTTCTGGCTTTTTCCTGTTTTGTTATTCTTTTTTTTCTACTTCTACAACCAGGACTGCTGATGTAATTATGATCACAAATATAAATCCTGAAATTAGTGCAGACACCATTACAAACTTGTACATCTTATCTGGCATTTAAGATCTGATCGTGGCCAGTGTGGGTTATTTGCAGTAAATAACAGCAAATCTCGCTAGTCAACTTCACCGGCGTAAAGGCCCATCGAATGGTATTTGACTTCACAAATTAAAAAATTTAAACGGTTTTTATGAAAGCCCAACTACAATAATGAAATTGTTAACTACTGCGACAGGTCGTGTGAGTTCAAAGTACCTTGGCATATTGTTTTGCGTATAGGAAGAATTTTCCAGCCAACAGGAAGTTTCTTTCGCATTCAAAGTGAACGGCGATGCTTTTGTATTCTTGTGAAGAGGCGTCCATTCCTTGGTGCAAAAAGGTTTTGCTTTTCTCATTATACTCATTTGACTCATCTCAAAGTAAGGCAAATTATCTTTTTTACAAAGCAAAGATAATGCTTCCTAGCGCTACTGATTTTGAATGCCACCAAAGTAGGATCCTGGCGCTCATTCAGATTAACATGCATCCACATTTCTATAAACCTTGCATTAGTTTTTTTAATAAATTCAACGTAAATTTATGCGAAATGCGCAAAAATCAATTTGGAGGTACGTTTTTGCCTTTAGCAGCAACATTCCCGAGAAAGTTGAAAGATTTTGTTGACAACCAAATTTTCCTACATGCATGCAAACAACTGTGTTTACAATAATTCACCTCTTGACATGTTTTCGTACGTTCTATCCATCGAATTAAAACTGTCTGCTGTTAAGACAGCCCCGTCTTCGCTCGCTTCGCACAATTAGCCTGGTCACACCACTTGAATGACGACACCACACTATAGTCACCCTACCCTCATGCTCCCCAATGCATCGGACTCAAGTCGACCAAGCCTGTGTACGCGGCGCATTCTGACATGCCAGTCGGCCCTTAACTGGGACGGTGCTAGCTCTGTTCATCAGATGATGTATTTTTTAGGGGACTAGGGAGTTGGGGGCTGCGTTAAACAGAATATTCGCACATTGGTTCTCTGAGCGTATGGTTTTGATTATTAATACCGTTGACCCAGGGCTCTACTTTGGAAGAACATTATTTAGTTTAATCGATTTGTATTATCGGCAAGAAGTTTCCATGAACTTATGCTATTTGCTAAGGGATTTTGCTACTTAACTAACAGCGGCCGTTTTGAGAATAGAACGAGAACTTGAATGGTTTTCTGGAAGATAACATCGCCTGCAATATAAATTGAATATAGCAAATATAATTTTATCTACACGACTAAAACTGTAAAACGCCATCGAAATTTCCAAATGGTATGATCTCAGGGGTAAATTCAATTCTGATCCAAGTTTTAGTCTCAATATTGCGCATTTAACACATTGTCATAGACACTAACCACCCTAAAAAAGTTAAGAGTTCGGAGGTGTACAGGTGATAAATCAGCACTCAGGCGATTTGACACCAAATGTAAAAAACTGGACCTGTACTCCTTGACTACCCATTGCATGATTCGCTTGTGATTTCAACTAGTAGTCGCCATCATTTCGAAAAGTGGGTACAACTATGACCGGACGCCACGGACCCATTATATTATCCATCGCTACACTCTGAGTACGAATATAAATTAAAGGCTTTCAATGATTCCGCTCACATACATAAATTAAACTCACCTATCACATTTGCATAAACGTCCATTTTACGATGCTTCAATGCGAGTTCATAGGCTGCATTATGGCATTTCGAGAACACAAGAAATTGGATGGCTGATGCAAAGTCACCGATTTTTGAGAAATAATGGGCCACTGCTTTGGCGCCTTCTATGCTCTTAGACTCCCTAACAACCCTAACGGCGTCCTTGGGGTTGTTCATTTTCTCAAGTAGCAGGCTTAAGCACATCAAACAGATTATTTACTACCTGAATGACTGAAACTCAAGTCAAGGAGACTTCCTCAGGCATGTTTGCACTCGTAATTTGCAGACATAATCAGCTTCTTAAAACAGGGCATCGGGGTTTCGACAGGATATTTCACAAAAAAAACAGTTCAATTGATACTTTTTGAAGCGTTTTACATCATAGAGCGCTGGTAGACTAAACGATAGATATTTGAAGGATACTGGCTATACTACAAAATTTCCTGGGCATTTCTGGGGGGAGAGACTACAGCAGACACGCTCGAAACTCTACCCGTCCGTGAAGGGACAAACACTTGGGTATTTGAAAGCTAAATTTATGTTTTCTCGAAATGTCAACTGGCATGGTGAATCCATTCCGTGGGACAAATAAAATTTCCCAAAGTAAAGTCTAAATTGCGCAATAACCTAAAGTTAAATTAATGTTGAGATCAGCTTCTCAGTTTTAACATTTAAGTGAGGCACATCAATAAATTTACTATCGCCTTTTCATTTGCATTAAAAAGGCTAGTTTCATGCTGTGTCGTAGTTGATTTAGTGTCTCAGCACTGTGCCCACAATTATTAGAAAATGAATTTAGGTGTCACATTAGAATGCAAAGTTCTGGTACATAAGCAGAGAAATACGTTGAAATATGTTATATGGAAGATTTCACGACAATTTTCTCGCCTCTTTTTCAAAAGGTAATCTAACAGTATTGGCAGGAATCAAGTAAACTCAAATCTATGGAATCGTTTTTATTAAAAAAAAACATAAACCTGGTCTCGAATCTCAATTGAGAACTAGTGCTCGGGTAATGGATAATGCATTTTTTCTTATCAATCCGTACATGAGAATAGTGCCGCGTTGGCCGCGCCAGCGAAAGGGCAGAACCACTCGGGATCTCAATATCAGAAAAAAATTAGTTTTAAATCTATCACCTAGCAACCTAGAAAACCTTTTTTTATGACATAACAATCTTCTTCACAGCCTTAACGATGGAGCGTCCAACGAAGGTCACAATAGGGGTAGTTGTCACATGACACGCGGTTTTAAAATCGTGCTTTTAATTAGACGAGACAATTGAAATTCTGCTACAGCCTACGGTCATTTAACTCCTCTGAGTTTCTACGAATACAAATGCACCTCAGTTAACATTTTAAACTTCTTAATTCTTTAATGCATAAATTCACTTTCCTGTCGTGGTGGGAGTGAACGCAGCAGGCTAATCTTACCGAACAACTGACTCCCAATCCCTGGCTTGCTCATAGGCGATGATGGCTTCAGTGTAGACACCTGTAGATTCCCTTGCCTTGGCATACTCCAAAAACATCTTACAGGAAGCCTTGGTCTGTCGAAGTAGTTCGCCCGCCTTGTCATAGTTCTTGGACTTGAGGCAGACGGCAATTGCTGCGTCAATTAGGCCTGCGGCTTCGTAGAGAATCGCAGCCTCTGGCCATTGCTTGAGGCGAAAGGCAAAATCAGATAGACTCAACTCCAAAATTTATTCCAAAAAAGGCACTGCCGCAGTGTTAATTTTAGATTCCTTTAAACAAGCCCTCACGTAGTGACGTTCTTGGGAGTAGCTGAATACAAAATTTGCTTCAGGTGTTAAGTGTACAAATGAATAGAGGCGTAAATTGGGCTTGTTTTGAAGAGAAGGCATTTGGCAGGAGTGTTCTTGGTTTGAAGTAACAAGTAGCAAATATGAAGTGAAGTATCTTACCCGCGACTGCTCCAAAATTGACGCACACTCTTTCTTGAGAGAATGGCTGGGATGTTTGAGCGCCATGTTTAAGCCTCTGCAAATTAATAACAAGAAACGTTCGGTGCTGTGATTAAGAGGCTTCACTAGTTAAAATACCAGTTAGGCTTTGTAAAGTAAGCAGCCGTTAACTGTTAAGGCCAGGGGTTGCAAATAAACACAGACTGTCTGGATGTGACTAGTAAGTAGAAAGTGGGTGTACCGGTGTATTCGAAGTCGCCTAAAACTGTTTTTACCCACAAAAGGGGCGATAACGCAATTTTGTACCCCTTTTTTCAGTTCTATATTTTAATCAAAGTAGGAATTCCAGTTGAAGGCAAATCACAGTTTGGTGGTTAAAATCCTGTGGCGCTTAAGTCTACGGCTTCAGGTTAGTGTGACTAAAACCAGGATTTACCACATGGCCCAGATTTGTTCATTATTAAAACAACAATGAGATAATCTGTTTTTTTTTCAAATGTATTGTCCACTGCAGACCATTGCTTTAATCCACATACACACCCCGAGATCCTATTTAATAAAATGGCTGACGAAAAATGCTTCAAATAGCTTCAAGGTAATATGCAATCAAAACTCCCAGACTGGAAGCATTTCAAACCACATATCGCGCTGTGTAGCTTTGCAGTCAAACTGAAGTCCTCACTACAGGAGCTTACCGCTTGTGGTCGCCGAGACGCAGGGTGTTTCTGACAATGCCAGCATTGCAGATTTCAAGGTGTTCATTCCATTCTTGAAGCTGACAGTCGCCGGCACCACCAGATCCACAGTGTAGCAGACCTGCAGCCTCATTTTCGTAGTCTGAAAAATCCTGATGGTTTTCCACACACTCCGGACGATCAAGGGCCCGTTCGAAGTGCATCAGCGCATTCACATAGTCGCCAACGCACTCCAGCTCGAAAGCGTATTCACGGCTAATGAAAGGCACCTCAGTGGGTCGCAGGCTCCGGGCAAGTTGCAGAGCATCGTCCCAATGCAACAGATCCCGACGCATCTGAAGCAGCGATGGCTCCAGTTACAAACGGCAAGATGAGTTAAATTAATATGGCTGTCAACAGCATAAATAAACGGGTAGACATTTCAGGTCATCATGGACGCCCATGTCCAGCACTAGGTCGCAGACGGTATGTTTTAAAACTAAAGCGATTTGTCGTAAAGGTAAAGAAAAACGGCATTTGACTAGTCGAGCACAAATGACAACCATTTTTTTGTGTTCTACTAATGAGTAATTTATTTTAAATTTCGCTAACCTCCAGAGCTGCCTCGGGCTTGGAAGACGCGAGAAAAAATTCTTGTGCGCGATTGAAGTCACCAAGAAACATGCAAACGTTGCCGTAAAGCAGGTTTTTCTCTTCAATTTCCATTATTTTCTGGACAGCAAGTACCAAACCGCAGTTGCCCTGCCTACGGAAGGCTCGAATCGCTTAAATACAAAGCATGAAACCAGGCTTAGGGATGCTAAAGGGTCAAATTTAAAAGGAACGTTACCTTTTTATCTGAGTAACTAAAAGTAGGTCTAAGTAGATGTCGTCGTTGAATGAGAATTGACATTAAAAGGTAAAGATTACTGCTAACCCTCTCCATCTGTCTGGTAGTACTTAAATGTGTGATTAGTTGAACCAAGTTTCGTGTACGAGTATTTCCCTTATAGGGGAATAACTTTTCTGGTTCCGCATATGCACCATTTATGAATGACACTATGGAAGACATTCCTGCCCTTGAACTCAAGCATCTTAACCACCTCTGATCCCCACTTAAAATTAGATTTTAACCCATCACGATATACTACTTAAGTGAACCCTAAGTTCAAAACAGATCGGAAGATAGACACTAAAGCGTTAAAATGAATGCAGTGTAGTATTATTTTGCACTGAAATCACAGCCGAGGCAGTAGGCCTTGATTTAACTCTTGGTTAAAAAAGTGTGTGGAAACACTTTAGAAATCCAAGAAGAGGTTGAGAAAGGGTGAACCAACTCACCGCATTCGAATTCGAAACAACTGACACAAGACATTCCAAGTTGTAGCCACCGTTCTTGCTTACGGATAAAGTCTGATAGCATTAGGGCATCTTCGAAAGCGCCAACATTCAGGGCTTTCTCAAAGAGAGCCTCGAGCTAAAAAAATTCTCAAAGTTAAAAAATACTGACTACTTTATGCACGTCACGTAGCAATCGCAAAAACGATGTTTGGGAGGATCGATAAGCTTAGGTAACCAGTAATTGGGTATGCAAATTCAATTGGCGTCGAAATGCAACACTTATCTCGAAAAGGAATCAGGTGGAAAAACGTTCTAAGATATCAGGAAACTCGTTGATTTTCAGCAAAAGGCTACAGGGTATTTCAAATCAGCAAAGCATGCTATGCAAAACGTAGGCTTAAAATATAGAACCTGCCATATTGTGCTACCTACTTTTTCAAATAAAACTTCTGGCTTGGATTCCACTACACCATATTGTAACTAAAGTCGTGTTGGATTGACAAGCTGAATGTCGAGTCCCGATAATGCCAACAACAAGATTTTACATTTCAAACTGGAGGAAGATGTCACTGAATAGGACGTTGATAGGGTCGTTGGAGTGTGATGAATAAGTAAGAAATTTTAAAGGCTGATGTTCAGGCTGCTAAAAGCACTCTTAATCGCATTCCAGGACTAACATACGTCTCTCTCTGATAACTTGGTTTGGTTAATTTGCTTGTTCTCCCACGTTGAGCACGAAAGGTTGTAAGAAGTCTTCTGGGTTCCCTCCAAGGTCGTTTCCGCGATAGACCTATCTCTTGGAGCAGTTTCTCTTGACGATCTGAATCGCTCGAGATGCGCCTTCGTGTACGTCCGAAACGCGTGACTAGAGAGAGTTGCGTGAACTAAGCGGCCACTTTGGCTAATGAAACAGACATTTTCCGCGTAAAAACCGAGCGGCGTGTGGTGCGGCGGCAGTTGCATGTAGTCAAGCAGACGACATTCACTAACTAAAAGTCAAGTTAATTAAAACCCTTAACGCATGGTAATCCCAAATAACATATAAAGATTGAGGGACCGGGCTTTCCAACTTATTTCATCGTTTCTTGAGCATCCTGGTTTAAGCCACTATAATCCTCTTCCATGAAAAAATTGTAAATTGTTTTAAAAATAAGTCGGTAATTTCAGTATTGATCATTTGGTAAGGTAGCGAAATAAGTGAAAAAAATGATCAATTCCGACATTTTGAGGAGGTGTGGTGTGCCAGTTGCACAGAATTTTATTAGCAATAACATACTCATAGGCGTTTGGCAGGCCATTAATTGTCTTCGGCTGGCAGGTAACTGCAATGGAGTGCGTTGAGGACTTGATGGATTTAAATCGGAGTTGTAGCTCATTAACTGGCCAGAGTTTGAAGTGGTGATGCTTGAAGTCAGCGATGGCAGATTGGGCCCTTGCCTAGCCTTGCTGTCTCTGGATATGGGGATACTTGCAACAAAGTACCGGTAAACCACAATGCACTCCTTTGAGACGGCCATTATCAAGGGCTAAAGTTAGAAGACTTAAGTTCATGTAAAATAGTCTTGATTTTGGCGCATATGCCACTTACATCCATCGGGATATCTGTGGCAAAAAGGCAAAAAATGATTCACGGATGATGGGCCAAATTATAGCCATGTAGGTTCTGGTTCTTGGTACAAAACCTGCTGACCAACCCAGCAACCTTTTATCTCACGTGCGGACAAAAATGAGCAAACAACAAGCAATTTAGAGAGAGATGCATCAGAGAAAGGTCAGATGCCTTTGGATGTACATAAACAAGTTGTCTTATTGATAGCAAGTTAACATCACGCTCATTATTCAATTTAATCAAAAGGATGGTAACCGAGATCTGCATCACACTGAGTGGCAAATTTAGCCTTTTTCCAAGTATTAAAACGTAAAATAGTTGGCAGTTGGCTAACAGCAGTTGGTACAAGGAATCTGTTGCAGCCCACACAAACTACCTTATCAAATGCGTGTATCAAGTACTGTCTTATTGCAAACAAAAAACAACTATAATCTCTCGACTTTGAAGTGGCTCATTGCAACTATGGCCTATTTAGTCTACAAGGCCTCCTTTTTGCTATCATCCCAGTACATTGATGCGATTGAATAAGCTAACAATGATTCTATTAAGAGGTAGTCCATTTTTCCAAAAAAAAGCAACCGATCTTTTATATCACCAAGTAGACCTAGAACACCGACCTAAATAGACACTGTAGTGGGCATGTCTTTTCACGCGCGTCTAGATAAATTGCCACTCGGAATTCAAAGTAGGCGGGATTTTGAAAAGGGAACAGTAGTTCTGTCTAGGTAATCGTTAAAGTAGGAATTTAAACGGAAAGTGATTTAACAACTATGACGCACAGTCGAACGACAACCTTGCACTATGAACCCGCCTCTTTTAATCCGTTGGGTTGCAAAACGCATGGACTCTTGCACAACTATTACGAACGAAATCAAAACCAGACGCACAAAATGACTGTTTTTCAGAAATTCACTAATTAATTGGGTCTCTCGCTCATCTAGGAAAAAATACACATCTGTATTGATTTCGTACAATAAAGTTGACTAGTAGAATACACTTGGGTCTAAAAATGACGAAACTTTATTTTGACATAAGGTGTGCTGACTCAGTTGAACAACGAGAATCACCCAGGTATAATTACTCGATAATCGCGCCAGTAAAGCAAAACTGAGGGTGCTCTTATTGGGTTAAATCGCTGCAAAGAAAAGCTTCGGAAAATGGAGTGGGGGAGGCATTACTTACATTTTCGCTATCCTCCAAATTCCACAAAATGCGACCTGCAGTAGCAGGAAAGTTGCAAATTTCGACAAGAGTAGAGGAAGCCTAAAATGTTAAAGGTCAATTAAGAAGGTGCAAGAAAATGATGCCGATTTTAGCATGTTACAGGAATGCGAAAAAAGGAATCCGACCTGTGCGAAATTGTAAGGGATGTTTTGCCAGTTAAGCTTAATCACAGAAGTAAATAACAGAAGTATCCAGTTGAATCATCAAAGATTACGCATATAATTGGGTCCTGCATGAGTAAACCTCCCTTCCAAAAACATTATTGGAGGTATTGTGATGTGTTGAGTTTAACCCAATAAAAAAAGTTAAAGAAATAAAACAGCATTTTTTGTTCCAACAAAGTGGTTAGAGGTGGACGTACAGAGTGGAAGATGTAAGCATTGTGCATTTCATCAATAAATGCAAGCAGGCATCCCGACTTTGTTGTGAAAATGGACATTATCTGACAAGAGTGATTGTACTCATTGACTATGGCCCACTCATCGAGATGGAACTGTAGTAATTTCTTTGACTAAAACAAAATAAATTACAAGTAGAACAGAAAATTTTCGTTACGCAAATCAAATTTTAAAAAACTCCTTTTACTCCAGTAAATCCTAGAATTGCCAGAAAAATAACACTACGGAGCGCGAGTGTCACAATGAATGTCGCTGGCAGAATATCTTCTCAATCCTAAAGTGTGTGTCGCGATGGATGAAATGAGTACGCTTGAAAATATATGACCGAAGACAAGGTTAATATGAGCCCGATCACGAAACAAATCAGCTTACGCTGGTCAATGTAGAATTACTTTCGTTTTTTTTTCAAAAAATTATAATAGCAGCCCAAAGAGAGCACACAAAGCGTTTGTCACAACTGGTGGCAAAGTTCCTCTGTCGTCTAACAAAATGTGAAATTCCTATTCGCATACTTTTTAAAGACGTATGGCCCAAAATACGATTTATTGCATGCTTGAACTAAAATTTCACGTTTTGGGGGAAGTGAAGAGCCTCACACTAATACACAGACTTATTAAATATGAAATCGTTCTTTTCCTAGCGGATTTGGAAACAAAGCGATCTATAAATGTACACTCAAGGAGAGTGGGACAAACGTACTCCGGTCGAGTAACTGAGTAAGGAGTCAGCAATGTCAAAATCGACAATTTTATCTCCGCTCTCTGAAAACGTCTTCTGTTGCCGTTTGGCGAAGGGATGTAACATATCTGCCAGTCCTTGAGGCCTTGAACTTCCCTGACCAGTAGTCCCAAAATCCCAACTCCCATTCACAGCGATGGAGTGAACTTTTGCGGGAAATGTCCTTGGATCGATCTGCAAATTTGGAAGGGATATTATGCTAATTCTTCAGTTCAATCATTGATAATAAATGGAAAGTTAGTCCGCGTACCCATTGAAGAATAACACTACCACTAGCAGTTCCAATGGCCGCATATTCACAGTTTAGTTTTATTGTTCTAACAGTTTCCAAGTAGGTTCGTTCTTCGATAAGTTTGATGTCTTCGAAAGAAAGAAGACAGATTTACTCAAAATTAATTTAATGTCAGTTTCCTTCTCCAATATCTTCAATGTAAGCCTCCGTGGCTAACAATAGAGATTAGCTTTGAAGCAGCAAACACAACCCCAGGCTTAAACAACAATGAAACGCCTTAAGTAACAAAAAAAAACTCGAAATTGCCAAAATTACACACATAAACGAGGTCACAAAATCACCAAGGATTAGACTATTTCGTTTTTGAACTGACAGGCACTACATGATTAATATTAAACAAAAGGCCTGTGTTTGACTAATTCCAGTGACTAACCTTCCATATTTGAGATGTCGTAGAAAAAGACACTTCTTTCGGCACCAACAGCCAGATGATTGAGACCAACACCAATGCAGGTAGGTTCTGTGTTTGCAGTAATGACTCGGGGAGCGACCAGCTGGACCGTTTGTAACTCCGACTAAAATTGTCCGCAAGTTAAAAAGGTGTGTATCAAGATTCCAAAATCAACGCAGCACACTGTCTGGAAGTAATATGCCACAATAAGTGCCACAAGGTGCTGGGCCTTCGCAAATTAAAGTACTCCCAATAAAATAAATGATAATTTTGGGCACTAGCTCATTAACTACCCAAATGAAATCATAATTACATTTGTATTTGTCAAAACTTGTAGAACTGAACGTACACATAGAGGCTCCAGTGTTATTTCTAGCAGAGACGTGAGCCTAGCCACGACACCGGTTGACGAGACACAAGTGACCATTGGAAGTTGACCAAGGAAAACGTGTAAAATGCGTCGAGGCGAAATTATGCCCAGGAGCTGACCATCATCTGACCATCCAACACTGCAGGGAGCAACTCCGCTAGGCAGCGTCGTTTCCGTGGGCTGCAGCCTATTCTCTCGCTCAGAGTCGTCAACTTCTATTATTGCAACCAGTTCATGTAAATTGACCAAGTCGTGAACTTTGACACTTAAAATGCATATAAATCGCTATTTTGAATACTTTGCGCATTTAGGGCAGATTAGTAATTAATGAAACATCGGAATGTCGATTTATCTTCTTCCTAAATAATTAGATTTCTCTACTTATTCACCGATGTGGCACCCCTGATCCCTATTTTTTACTAAACCGACCTCCATTTACATGCATCTGTAGATGTAACAAAACAAACCATTGCTAGCAGATGAGCAAGTCACTGTGTGGCTTTTCCAACCTTTATTTAAAGTTCTAAGTTTTAAATCCACTACTTAAGGAGAGGGAGAGACCAATGTAATTCACCACACACACACATCTGTATCTAAAATTTCTAAGAGCCTTACTATCCACCGAATCAACAAATTATAGCATATTAAGATAGATTATCAGTATATTATTGCTCGCACACTTAGAGTAAGAAACGGAGTAGCAAGGCAAGTGGGTCGCAATTAAAACGAATAGGTAGAGCCGCAATGCTTGATTGTAAACTAGGAAAAACACAGTTTTTTTCAAATTTTGCAGCAAATAATTGGCCTAATACACAAGGCGATTGGTGCAACAAGACGTGAACCAGAGTAAAAAAAATTAATATCCACACTATTTGAAAAAAACCTAGCTATGCGCTGGACCACAACATAACACAAAAATAGTAGCATGGCGGGTCAGTAAAATCATAGTTATACCCTTTACCAGAATCATGTAAGTAAAATAAAATATATACCATTTGTCGCTGGCTGTAGCAAATCTCTGAAGGTCCTTTGAGATAGACATGGAGTAAAAATTATCATCGTAGTCCCGAATCTTGAGAAGTTCCTACATCTCAAATATGGTAAGCAATCGCAAGAACCTTCCCAACATTCGGCTCAGCCATTGAAAAAACAGTAAAGCTGCCTAGAGAAAAGCCAATGATTACGTTTTCTGTGTTTTGCCATTCATGTGCCATAATTTCGCCATAGGAACTGTTAAAAGTATAACACGTTGGCTGTTCATCTTCATGGAATTTCCAGAATAGTAATTGTTTTCTGTCACCGACGCAGGTTACCTGCCAACACAGTGAGGTAAATCCACGTTAGATTCGTTGTTTAATATAACTATTTTATGTTGTTTTAGGTGGTCGACACACTCTCATCAGTTAAAAATTTATAAAACATTCAATACCAATTGAAATGACATTAGTCTTACAAACATTTTAGTACAATGAGTATTTAATGGAATACATAATGAGGTAACACACCTCCAAGTTATAAACCTAAAAAAATACGTTTGCAGCAATAGGTAGTCAAAATAAAAACCATTCAAAAGAAAAGAATGAGGGAAATGTCCTTAATCAATAAAGTGAAGTGGGAAACAAGACACCGATAAGCAAACATACAGCATTTTCTTCTGTGGGTGCATATTTCGATAAGCTCGTAGAAGTGAATTTTAGGTCGGTTGGGAGAACCTCAAGCTGCACTTGTCGAAGCAAGTCACCGTCAATTGAGTTAAGAGACATAACTTTATCTTCTCCCGCAGTAACTAAAAGACTTGTAATGCTCCAGAGTACATATGAGATTCGACGGGTGTGTCTGCCTAAAACAGTATATTTTCTCAAAACTGAAGAATAAATACCAATTACTTTGTTGTTATCCAGTCATAAATGAGTAGGTTTCCTTTTGATGTTCCAACTGCAAATCTCTCATCTACCTTCGACCAAGCTATGACGGAAAGGTTGTCCCTAAATCTTAAAAATCATTACATCATTTATACTTAAAACACGTTTTAAACTGGGATAATTTTGCAGTTGGTGCTTCCCATATGTATATGGAGGTAGTTTCGTTGTCGATAATACCGAGCCTATTACCATGACGGTCCCAGTCGAAATCAACGACTTGACTGTAAGACATAAAAATTATAATAGATAGCAAACCCAGGTACGTCAACACTGCCCTTCGGGTTTCCAAGTCGATCAAAAATACTCACGTGTGCTTTAGATCTTTAAGGTATTTAGCGTACGATACTAAAAATACCCGAAAGTAGCAATGAGGTTACAAGTTCCTTTCTGGATCCTGAAGCCAGCATATCCGGAAGGATTGCAACCAATTTCAGCAGAAAAAATTTTCTTAAAAGTCAAGTGTCAAGCAAATTCGGTCATACTTTCATCTCAAAGAAGCTTCGTCTATAACCTGCAGCAATAAAACGATTTTGCGCATTGGGTTATCGTCGGCAATTAAAGTACGTTAAAACAAAAGAAATGGAATACTTTAGAGTGCAGTCTATTACTAATTCTCACCTTTTATTTTGAAAAAAAACTGTATATATATCGCAACTTGAACTTGTTCAAGGCCAGTATTTGATTTAACGAAGTTGAGGTAAACTAAATCCATTATTTATTTTCCGAGATCGTGTGAAAGTTGCTAGTACAAAATCCGCTTTCTAACTAACTTCTTTAGAAAGTAAACAAGTGTAATGAATAACTGCTGGTCTCATTAGAACCATCATTTACTTTTCTTGTTTCTCACTTGTATTTTATTTATGCTGTTCAATGAGTACTCATAAAATCCTTGCTTATGTCAAATTATTGCCTAGTGGCAATTTCGTTCATTTGACATCTTGGCTGCCTTATTACGCAGTGGTAGTAAGAAGGGTGCAAAACCCGGACTATGAGTTTGGTGTTCAACCGATTCGACTTCATTTATATTCAGCAAATACACATTCATTTTCTCCCTCCCTATAAAATTTTAAATTGCGAATTAAATGATCTATTTTAATCAGCCAAGGTCTCAATGAATTGTGCTTATCTGGACTCCATACCTAGATAACCAAACAATAATTCTAATAACGGCACAATAAGTTAGGCAAAATCGCTTTCCCTCTCAATATGGTAAATTTGTCCAATTATTTTGAATGCCAAGAAAATAAAATATTTGTAGTAGCAGTGAAAATGAGGATGTGTGGACACGCAGTGGCAAGAATCTCATTATTTGACGCATTAATGTTTCATGAATAGGAAAAAGATTGGACTGATATTTGGATAGCACACAAACCCTGTGAAAGCAGGCATTGCTCACAATTATTACTTAAACTTATCCATAAAAAATTAATGAGGGAAAATGTGGAGTAGAAATGAGAAATTTCAAGATGCAGTGATATTGTAAAAATTGTGACCTTCTTTTAATGAATATGCATGCTTGACTGACTCTCATTGTTAGACAATTTTTTCTTTGAAGAAATCCTGGCTGCTGTGATAAGCCAGATTATATAGATTAATAGAGGATATGAGGCTAAGTCACGGCGCGTGAGAAGGTGGGGCTCCATCAATCGCAAAAAGTATGAATTAAATAAATACCACAAAGACATTTTAACTATTCAGTCTAATTTTTATCGCGAACCGTGAGTGAAAATAAGTTGACTTAAACCCACGAGGGCAGGTAAGATTCAGGAATGAGCACGCAGGTATACCGATTATTTTAGTTGTGTAACTACTTGTGTCAAAATCTCACAACATTGTGGTAGAAAAACCTTTATGGGTACATATTCCACGAAAGCATTACTTAAATTTAACCCATATATTTTTGCAGATAAATAATCCTCGGTCCTTTACGTATTCAGACTGGTTCTGCACATATTTCTATTCTGGACATCATTTCCTGTCAGGGTTGGTTCATTGTTATAGTCAAAAAGGCCGTTAAACCCATTACATTCTACTGTGGCATTTCATTTGGCTAGGTGTGTTACAATCCTTTTAATTGATAACAATAATGTGGCACATGAAACGTCGTAAACAGCATTCAAGGAAAAGAGTTTTGGATTATCCATAAACATAAAAATGACGACAGCTCTGCATAAAACACTTAAAACTGTTATGCGACAGTGCAAAATCAACCTCTACGATGTGTAGATTCCCTGTACAGCCAAATTTCTTTGAAATAAATCAGCAGCAACTGTGCCTGAATTGTTTCATTATGGCAATAAAGCTAGGTGTTGGGATGCCTGTGATGGTACAGGGTGACGTTTTTTTCTCATTAAGACAACTGATCTAGGATAGATGTTACGTACGAGTTCATTTACTTCAGCCTTTTGTCTATCATGATCTGCTACTCGCGTTGATGACAGCGAATCACAAGGGAACGGAAGAGAATGATATCATATATAAGCCGCAGAAAACAACATAATTATTGTAGCACGCAGTGCTAAAATTATTTGTGTGAGTGCTCAAGTAAGAAAACCCTGTTGTGAATCGTGTTTGTGCACACTCCTTAATCCGGTCGTTTCACAGACTTCCCCTTATCGCAGCCTGTCGCCAGCAGCGCGGATCCTCCACTCCCTCCTCATTCGCATGAATATTTATCTTGGATTATCCTCACACCTCGATGTTAGCGCATGTATGACTCATACATCTGAGCTCTGAAGTTAACGGTTGTGTGCACGTCCTCTCTGGTCTTTTTCCTAATCGCGAATATTAGGGAAACGTAATCGGACCAGAGTTAATTCAAGGGCCTCGGCGTAGTTCAAGACCACATGCTTTGGCCCACAATAGCTGGTAACCCCGATGTGATGTAAGGTTCTACAAATCCCTCAACAACCCATTCCACATTTTCGGTAGTCTTCATATTTTTTATTATGCGGTAACGAAACCAGTAGATTCATTAAGGCATAAATCAGTGCTTGGCAGATTCCATAGACAGTTGTTCAAATTTTTTAGGCTCACATAAGGCACTAGAAGAGTCATGAGGTTGCCATGGACGCCCGGGTGTTTGGCTGGCAGCCGAATAGTGAGTAGGTACAAAATGCTTTGTTTATTTAAAATTGCCAGCTTGATTTGAAGCCCACAATCAGTTGACCTTCACTATGGCGTAAATCATCAAGAACTATTCTGAACGAAGGCAACAGCGAATGAAAAGTTGCTTTAGTTATCCAGAAATGCGTCTTGTGTACACTAACCTTAAAAGCTGGCGATGATGATGTGGAAGCACAGCGTCTAGGTTGAGCCATACATATGCCAAACAGATTTACCCTTCAAAGGTATCCGGTGGGCCAAACTATTGTGCTGTTACTTAATAACACAGTTGGACATTACACTTACAAGACTCATTAAGAAGTCGGAGACCTAATTTCTAAGACACTGGAAGTTTAAGAATCGTTTTGGTTTCCAGAGGCCTAGTCTATGTGATGAAATAGTCGAATATTTGCTGAGATTTCAGGTCTTTAATTTTCTTTTTAAAAATTATGCTACTTTTTTAAAACGCAAAGCAAAATCATAGCAAAAACAATGCACAGCAATCCATATATGAAAGGTCGTCCATTTCTCCCTGGTGTGCGATTTTGCTTACTAAAAGTTATATTTGCGTAATGATATTCACAATTACTTTAACTCGGAGCACGTATTCGCCACACTGCCTGAAATGGTGTGAAATAATATCCTTGAGTCTGTGATCTTAAAGATACCTATGACACCATTTAGTGTCCATTGAATACTGCCACGCGAAGAGGAGTTTTATGTTATGTAGTAGTTCTGGGCATGGACATGGCCAGCCTGCGGTACTTTATGACTCTATGTATTTAGACCCTAACTGGCAGAAATTAACCCCCCAAAAATCATCGTTTCCTGTCATTAAACGCTGTGGTTAATGAAATGACACATGTTAAAGCCCTGCCACTTTCCCATCATAACATATAAGGAATCCACTAGTGGTATCAAAAACAATTTAGATTTGCCGTGAACGAATAGAATGCCCCGATATCAGAACTCTTATACTTTGTATCAACTGCGAGACCTTACAGCTTATTTTGACTCATTCCCTTTCATCTTCCTCCTCCTCCTCCTCCTCACCCAAATGACTACTAAGAGGATGAAATTTAAAAATAATAAATCATCAATGACAGTTAATGCGTTGTATGAGCCGTATAGTTGTGTCAAATAATGCTACCAATAGCGTGTGTTAGTCAATGTGTACGTTTGAACTGTTGCGAACATCTTCATGTCCACCACGAAGACTAGTCGTTAATTCCACTCGACTTTTATTTACTTGCTGTTACCTAAAAGTCCAATGATAATTTCGAGTTCCCTTCTAGTGCTACAGTTTGACAGTACATGGTACCAAAGAAAAATTTTTAAATCTACCAAATTATTAATTTGACATTACCTCATTAGCTTTTGAATCAGCTGCCGAGTTATGATAATATGCCAAGAGTATAAAGGCGCAAGTTAAAAAGTCGTAGTCTATGAGAAGAAAACTGAACCGGATGCATCATTGCCCAGTTATACCTGGCTGCAGTGACTCTATTAAAGAAGTTTGCGGACTTAAGAAGCATATTTTATTTTAGCTATCTTTTTTAATTTTATATGCAAACCAATAAGAACGTTAACAGTTTTATGAAAATAATCTTCAAAAACAATATAAATTGGCATGAAAGGCAAAAAGGCAGACAGGGCCAAATATTATGGCTTCGAAAAAGCACGATAAAAAGGCGAGTCAGTTTCTTCGTCGTAAGTGAAAGTTGATGAGAGTGAGGATTCGATTCTTCATCTCAGGGGCTGAAATAATGCCTTGAGAGACTTCCTGGTACTCGTTGCACAGCCCTGACAAAGCGTCAACTAGTCTTAACATATTCTTTTTTGGACGCGTATTCTGACTCCGATTACGCCGATTGGCAAACCACGAGTTCACCTAGACGAAAAGACGAAGGATTTGGCGCAGAAATCACCTGTGCTTCATCCCTCAACAAAGACCGCGAATACGCCAAATAGGGTTAAGTGGCTACAAGGCGATTATTTACACAAGCATCGGGGTGTGAACGTTTGCATAATCTTATCTGCTAATAATTACACACAGGTAATTTGGTACGAATCGAGTCCGTGATTCCAGCTTTGAAAGATCACAAATTCACAACGGAGTTGCGCGTACTGGACAGACAAATAATACAGTTTACCGGTAGTTGATCATTATAAATTTCATAAAAACATTTGTGTTTCGTGGTTGTGCTTTAAAAGGATATTGTTTGGATTTTGACATTATTTTTTTAAATCTCCTTAATTTAAGGAAACCGCTGCAGAATCCTTCTGTCGTTTGCTGCTCTTAATTGTAAAACCATCTAAATTGGCAAAAGGAAACTATAATGTCCAAAAAGGCAAGCTCATCGTAATGACGCGTAAATTTACACATTTAAAATTAAAATAATCCCGACACCTGACAGCCGATTTTGTTTAAAAGACGCAAAATTTAAGCAATATTAGGTCTAAAGGTCCAAGAGTTGAGGTAAACAATATAGAAACGAGTTGGATGAGCTTAAATGTTTGTAAGAGCGGGTTAACTTTTAAAAACCTAAAAAGCTTGCCTCACAAGGAGGCCTTACATTCCATACTCCAAACGCTATGTTTAAAGGAAAGCTATAAAAGAAGACGTCCAACAGTCAGAAAGAGGGATTGAAATTACTAGAGAGAGAATAATCAACAATGCTTACTACTGCTGCTGCTACTACAACTACTATGAGTGAAACAGCACACGAGATAGATGAGAATCTGGCCACGGAAGAGTAAAGCAACATGGATGCTCTTGTATGCTGCTAAATCACCAAACGAGCCACAATGGCCTGGTCTGTCAAATTGCCCTGACATCGACCAATAAATTAAAAATGAGAAACGTATTCTCCAAAGCAACCAAAAACAAATATCCGACGACAATTCAAACTCCTTCGGGCACGTCACGAATAGTTAAATACAGAGGTGTAATTTTGATACTGAATAAATTTGACAAGGATGATTAAAATAGGAATGAAATCATTAGTAGGCTTTTTCCTGAAGGACAAATAACGGAAATAACCAACTTATTTTTGTTGACTATTAATGACTTACATTCCTGCTAAGAAATGAAATAATATGCAACCAAACATCTGCCTCTATTTTTACCTCACTAAATAAAACAAGCCAGGGTACCGGGGACGATTGCTATGTAGCTGAAATCTCAGTTGACCGATTCCTTCACCACTGAATGCGTCATTTGCCAATCAGTGTGAAAAGCTGACACCCCCAAGTTGGCTGCTAAGGGGAATTTTGGGTTTCTGCATTGTCTGATGCTTGTTATTTTGTGCCGGGGAATCAAAAATAACTGATCCAATAGTTAAAACCGATGCAATATAACAGTTGTTGTAAAAGAGGGAGGACAATAACTATACATGTTGACTGACTCGAAATCAGCATAGTAGGTGTGACGACGGACCAATCTGTAGCACACTAATCAGGTCCCCGTCTACCATCAAAGCAAAAAAATGTAGTCTGTACTTAATCACAATTTCTGAATCAAACCGACTGAAATGAAGTTTGTTACGCTGCTGTGGAAGTGATTTAACAGAAACCTAAACGAATACGTCACATGAATAATACTGTTTCAGGTGTAAATGCGGAAAAATTGTGGCTACGTAAAAAAGCCACGTATATCAGAGGTTATCAAGCGAAATTTTACTCACTTGTTCAAGGGTAATGCCCCCTGCTGAAGCCATAACCTGTTTTTCTGCCTTTGACGGGTACGGCCAGTCAGTATTAGCTTCGTACCATCCCTCTAAAACATAAGTCGCGCGTGTGTTCAGAAGTTTATTCCCTTCACCTCTCACCTTGTTCTGTTTCATTTCCGAGTATTTGTCCATGAAGGGCTGTTTCACATCCTGTTGTGTAATGTAAGTGCTGTAATTAATGGGAACAGAAGCTGCTGGTCCTGGGAAATTCCCAGTCTGGTATCGTACAATTGGATTTATAAACGTCGGAAAAGCGGTCTGATCAGCGTTTCCTGTGAGGACTTGACTTAACGTTTCATAGTTATTCATGACTGGAACGTAAGGCGAATGGAAGGACTGTTGATAAGTATATGTCTGATTCGTATTCACAGCGGAAAAACTTGGTAAATTAGACTGTGGGGAAACTTGAGGAGGAACACTTTCGGCACTGTCCGGTTGGAAAGTTAACGCTGATGAGCTTTCGTCGCATGAGGAAAGAGTTACTTCGAAGGCAGTATCGGAGGTAAGAAATTCCAATTCACGGTCACCATTTAAATCATCCGGAAATTCATTGATCGATTGCATAAAACTTGTAGAGGCATTATCATCCGATTGAAGTAAAGATGTAGTTGCGAAGGATGTTTCGTCTCTCTTTATCGACTCCTCATGTGAGTTCGAAGTTGAATTAATACTTTCGTCTGAGACGGGAGCCAGGTCATTCACCGGCAAAAGATGGCTATCGGTCGAAAAATTAAGACCGCTGGATAAATCAGAATCAAAATTCAATTCCGGTCCCCTAAAAGGTAAAGCGAGATACACACTGCTGCTAATCTAGTACCCTTCTTCACCCTAGTTTTGCTGTGTCATTGCTGCCAAAGCCAAAAAGATTTAACAACTTACCAAACACAGTTATTTTAGCATATTACTTATTCTCGTGGGATGATTTCAAATATATGAATGATAAGTAATTGTGATTTTCATACTAGGCATATTCAAAAACACCTTGCATCAAAATCCTCAACCCAACACTCACGAAATCTGCTGAATCACAGAAACAAGAAAAGTTTTATAATTATGCTTCAGAAGAATCTGTACTATAATGCGATCATTCAAGAGAGCTGAATTAAACGCCACAAGATATTAATCCGATGTAATTTGATAAATTTGACTTGGAAGACAATTTTCATGAAATATTGTTTAATAATTTCAATGTCATCCAATTATTGTGCTACATTAATTGCCAAGTAATAAAGGCTGATTTATTGGCAGACCCTAATTATTAAAGTAAGCAAAAATCAGATGAAAAACTATTAACTACCAAGCTCTGGACTAAGGAAACTTCTCTTCGAAAATCTTGGAAGTCAGTAAGCGATAATATGACATGTAATTTGAGAATCGGTGACATTTACTGATACGAATAAGTGAAAATATGTTCGATGCAAGTATCGCTTACGAAAGAGAACAAACTCACTCCATAGCCTCAATTAAGTTGACAATGAGAGGGCTCTTCTTGATTAAAAATCAACGTCTGACTATGTATATCAGCTGTTAGATTATGATCAGAAATCAGATTTTTAATGTAAACATCTCTCGAAATCGACTTGATTGGTCCCCTGATTTGTAATCATCGTATTGAGATTTGGCTGCACGTACAGCAGGCTCAACAGAAAAAAAATCAATAATTTTTCACTGCCGGGCAAATTTTGGCCAGAAGACGGAAGGAGCTGGTGCACTTTAATGTTCTCTGTGTCTCAAAACACTTCAAATTGGAGCATTTCGGTCAGGTATGTTTCTCTAGGAAGTATGGAAACAAATGCACTCCGTTTCAAGACGTATCATAACCATAGTGCTGAATTGCATTACTCCATTTTTAGTTGTCCCTAATGACAATAACTAATATATACTAAAACCAATGCGGAGTAGTTTTAAAACCAATGAATAAATCAGAAAGACACTTGATTCAGCTTGGAGGTGTTTTCAAGTGGAGTTAATTTAGAAGCGTACTTTGCAAGTCAAGTTTGATTAAAACCTACTGACCATCGAGACATTTAAAACCGGTGTCAATAGTTAAATAATAAATGCGCAGTCTTCCGCTACCATTAGACCAGGAAAAAATTTGTCCAACATCACTATAAGAAAACTTTCAGCTTTTTAACCTAGAATAACATCATAGACGACGTGGAAGTTCCCTGGGGCCGTTTTGTATAGCTATTACTTTTGCCGGATCTCAACTTTGTGACTTGAGATGCTTTTATGTCTCGACTCTGTTTTTCACCCCGACCCAAACCTGCCCAATCACGGTTGCTGTGGCCTTTTGCTATCGACGACTAGGTGAAGTTTGAAAGAAACGAATGGCTAACCCAGGCTTTCTTGGCCCAAGATCTCTAGTTGTCTACCATGCTTCATTCCTGAAAATAAAGCCTCCAATGGTCTAGATTAGAACGTAATTGAACGACGATAATAAACCCCGTTCTGGAAGTCTTCACACACGTTTGTCAAGCCATGTCTAATCGATCAGCTTCCTTCGAGCATACCGATAAGAACCATTCCCCCATGAGTAACCGCCACTAGTTCTCTACCCTAGAGTAAGGTTCGCATGGATTATAGGTATCTTGATAATCGGCAACACCCAATCTTTAGGAAACCATTACACATGGACTTCAACAACATTCGAGAATTTATGGTAATTTGTCTAAGAAACCTGACTTTGACGCATAAGATAGGTATTGGTGACACCTTTTATAAATGCTTCCCTTAAACCTACAATGTTAATTTTGGCTTGCAGTAACCAACAACGTTCGCTAGTAAACATTTACATGAGGAACGTTTTGAGGCAGTTCGATTTTATTAAAATATCACACCTGGAGACGCAGAACACCAACAATGAAGTAACTTGCATAAGATTTCAGCCACATGCTTGGTTTTATGCAGTTGATACACTGTTGCTAGTGGAAATGAACTCGGTGGGATGCGTTAAATTAAGTGGTCAACGTTGAAACAAACAATGATGATATAAATTAGGACAATTTATAAACAATTATAAACTTAAACATTGCACAATTATAAAGTTAACCATTTTTCATAGGGCACATACATAGGAACTCGAATGCAACCACGATAAATGCTTACTAGCCACTGGCAGAATGTATTGACATATCTACCTTTCATATCCCTTAACATATCATTTTAAAATACAGCCTGGCAAACATAGGTATAATTATAGTATAGCATAACAAGACAAATAGTATATACAAATCGAACTAGGGCAATTTGAAAAGTATTTCGAGCGAATGAGCCAATGCTTCCTCAGAGGTGGCTTTCACTTGCGTTCGATTTGCCACATCGGATATTGCAACGGTGAGCAGATGGGCACACTATACACACAAAATAAGCAGTTGGATACAAACTGAACAGCAACCGGCAGGTGCGGGGAAAAGTCGTTGAACAGTATCGCGACCAGCCAAACGGCGCGTTCCTGATCAACATTCGTGGAAATCGACGGAAACTTGTGTGTTTTGCGTTAGCATCGTTACCCTTCATAAGGACCCGACTTTTGTAAAGGGATTTAGTGAATTCTTATACGGTGCAATCAACTGTGCACTGTATGCGATACCGATTGTAGAAGACTAAAATCGCCGAAGTAATTTTTGACGTGGCATCGCAATTTCACACCCTGCCTTCCTACCTTTCGCAGTCATCAACGTGGACAGATCCACTGCGTTATCGTAATTGGTAAGATTATGCAACCAAATTAAATCGTGGGGCGCCACAAATTTAAAAATCGATGAAACAGTGACGAGTGTAAAAAGCAACTTTTTTCAACAAGATGATGCAGAAATATAGCGGTTTAGACGCGGAGCGAACTCATTTTGAATCTGAGTAAGCAAATATACGTAAATCCACGATTTGCGGTCCAAATTCAATGCACAAAAAGCAGTGAAAGAGCTCTTTTCACCACGTTGGCAATAGATTACTTGAAATTTCATTGATTTTCTCAAAAGCACAGCACGGTTTCTGGGAGGCATCAAACTCTCGACTGCATTGTCATGCAATTATGGCGCAATTTTAAGTTTCTAAAAATAACCCCAAATTGCCACTGAATTATTAACAAAATCCACTCCAAATGCAACAATTTGCACACTGGTTGCTTTCCTGCCTAACGACCTTTGAGGTGCCTGAATCTAGTAACTCTAGTTTTGAATGAGCCTCTAATTGGTAGAAGTTGTTACATAAGCCGATCACTTGCGTTACTGAACACGTTACATGAGAAAACGCATTAACTTACCCATGGACGTCCTAATGGAGAGGCCTGTAAGGTTTTCCCTTGCATACATGAGCAGAAATGCGCAGTCCTGCTGCAATACACGCTACCTCCTTTCCCTTTAACCTAAAGGGGATTCACCGTGAAGCACATACTGTACCTTGTAAACAAACCTTCCGCTGGGTGAAACTTCCTTCGTTGTAGCTCGTTCTTCGAACAAGTTAAGTGCTTCAAAAGTTATTTTGCCAAAGATTGCATGTAGGCTGAAAGATTATTCGGGTCTTCAATGTGAATACGGCTAACCTCAATAAATTCTCATCGGTAACTAAAGGCAATTGAGCAACAAACAGGATAGCTTACGATTTTCACTTGGCTTAATTTCTCTCAAAAAAGACGATGATAAAATGTCAGGGACGAGGGTGATAGTCATTCTCTAGAGGAATATAAACAAGACGTGTTACATCGCTGCGATTATGGTGGGCACATTCAAGCGAACGTCTGGCGATCAACGTCACATACAATCAGACTCTACATCCTATTACCACAACCCTAAATTGAATGAACAGTTCTTTGTGTAATGATTACTTGGGCGCAAAAACGTCTCATCAAGCTTAAATTCACTACTGGCCACAGAAAGATGCTGATTTTGTGATGACGAACTACATCTTTACAAAGCCCACTAAAATTGAAGTTTTGAGGCGCAACAATTGCGAACAAGATTCCCCAGTAAGTTCAAAGGCAAGGACTTAGCGACCCAAAGTCAGCATTTATTTTGACATGGTTCAGATAAATAAGGTGCCAAATATGACAATTGAAAAAAGACCAGACAGATAAAAATCTCAATTATAAGATGGACAAAACAGTCATCAAAACAAAACTGAGATCAAGAACCAAGCACTTTGTTATTTGTGTTAGGTACCGTACAAAGAGAGTTCAGGAGGAAGACATAATTACACAAAAAATCAAGGAGCTTCAGGTGAAAACTTGACAGCATGGAAAGCGTAACTAATTGACTGTGACGAGGACCACCTCCAGGAATTCGAAAGAGGGTTGTAAGCAATTCCAATAACTTTTCTTGGTTGAAGGTTGTCTAAAATAAAGATATGTCACGATAGTAACAACACCATGCATCAGCTCCTAGCTGAAAGCAACCAAATTACACGAACGACGATGAGACTAATGCAGAAGTAATAACTAGGACAAGGCACAAGTGTCAAACGAAAGGGTAGGATCTTTGTCCCCAACACGGCAATTTAGGTCATCAGTAAATTCTAGAAATCATCACTTACGTCTGACTGCAGCCATACACAGCTCGGATGGTTCTATAAATTTGTCCCACGTATGCGTTCCACGGGGAGCTATTTTGAGAACGTTTTCGGCCACGACGATGCCCAACCAGTAGGACAACATCGTCCGGTTTATTGTCGTTGCGATGAAGTGCCCACCAGGCTAAAAGAAAACAGTAAGCAAAATCGGCTCTGCGTGAGTGGGTAATAATCAGAACCGTCTCTATCGAAATAGTTACGGATTCAGTTAATCGATAGTCGGTTAACAAACATCTGACATTTGTGGTATGAAGGATCTGCTAGGTGTCTATTTGGGATCAAAAATATAAATGACTCGCACTCAGGCTATCTAAAGAAGCGCTCTCGCATAACCTGAGCTACGACAGTTTGAGGAAGTCATCAATTAATGGGCTAGATATTAGATCATTCCTCTTAAACTATTTTTAATTTATTGAATATACATGTAATACTAAAAAAATGATTAAGACTGCATATAATTAACATACCCTCACTATGATTTACAGGGTATTCAAAGACCTTACCTTCAGACACACAGAAGCATCTCTGACAATCTTCTCCCAGTCTGAAACGTGTTCCAAAAGTTCTGAGGCGATAACGGCATCAAATTTCCCAGGGAATTCAGTGGCTAAATCCTGTGTGCTTATAGATCGGTATTCTGGGGCACCGAACGGTGCATCTTCCCATTGTTTAGGGTTTATGCTCGCCACATGGTTCTTTGCAGCATCTATGCATTCTGGTAACAGGTCTATGCCCAAAACCTTAGCCCCAAGACGAGCGAGCGGCTAAGAAAATAGAGAAGTACGCAAAAAACAGTAGTACGGGCAACTATCAAATGCGAAATAAGAGCCACGAGTTAGTAATTAAAGATAGGAAGACCAACGCTACATTCAAGTTGAGATTATGTCAAGAAGACCATAGCAAGCAAATAAAAGCAAACACAAGCAGTAATATAGATCCATTTGTTCTACACTAGTAGGGGAAATAAGATCATTTTTGTGACACTTACCTCCGACAATATCCCACCTCCACAACCCACATCTACTATCTTCATTCCGTAAAGAGGGTACCAGGGTTTACGAGATTCATCCTTGAATAAATTATTAACCAGTTCCAACCGAACGGAGTTAAGAGCATGAAGTGCTCGAAAATCCCCTACAAGTACCACATAAAGTGAGCATAAGGGTGGAATTACCGTCACGATCCCACCACTGGTCGGACAGAGATTTAAAAGTGGCAGCCTCAGACACATCCATTCCAACGGGTGAGCCAGAAAACGCCTTCGGAAAATGTGCGAAACATGCAGTTCTACAAACAAGATTAGTGCTTGTCGAAAAGGAAGTACCGAGTAGGCGTTCTAGCACAAAGCCTGTGCAATATATTCATTTGATGCAAGGTGATATCTGAATTAGGAAATTGGATTAATTTATATTGAGGTCAGAAAATAACAGTGGGCATTCAAGCAACACAACTGACCTATTGAAATACTGGGACAGGTAGAAACACCTCACAGTGTGAATAATTAAACATATTGAGTGGTTTGCAATGGCATTTGAAACGACTGATAGCTGAATGTAATGGACACATTAGAAAGCCGGTTTTACGCGAACTACCTAGACCAAATTTTCATGTCCAGACAACGGGAGAAGGCTGTAGCTGAAGGCCCCATAACTGACCATGAAACAAGTGAATTCACTCTAGGAGTGTGATTTGTGGCTACATGTGCATGGTTGCCAGTGTAGGTTTTAAACATAACCAATGCATATCGTCCAGCCAGAATATAAGAGGAACCGAAGTTAGATGAATATTTAATCCCCAGCAAGCATCATGCCAAATAACTAATAAACGTGAATAAAAACTGAATTCTTAACTATTTTAACAGCGAACACAACAAACCAACCTCACTTCACTGTGATTGGTTTCTTCGTTTCTTTGCATTGGTTGATAATGTCATGCAAACATCAGTATCTCAGGTTCCGGAATGCTGAACTATCTAGCGGGTAATTGCAGATGAATATTAAAATGGCAATTTGAGTTACTAACTTATTACCATCGTTAAAGTTTATCCATTAATTCATGTGAAGTGGCGAGCATGATCATTATAGTCTTGTTGATTCCACTGTTTTGTTAAGGTCACAAATGTGGTGTTGTTGTTGAATTGTGGGTCATGCTTCGTCGCATGTTTTCTTCTGTGCCGTCTGAACATGCTAGAAAAGTTATGGCAAAAGGACTCCCCAAAAAAGTGCCAATTTCGGGAGTAGATAAGGTTATCCTCGTTTCCTCTGCGAAAGGAGGAGTAGGTTTGTCTTTGTTTTCACTTGATTCGTCACTAGGTAAATCGACGGTCGCAGCCAATTTAGCTGTTGCATTAAGTAAACTAGAAGGTTCTGGTCAAATTGGCCTCATGGATTCTGACGTCTTCGGTCCTTCTATACCCCAACTTATGGGAATTGCTGGGATTCAGCCTGACACAAACAGTGACAATCTCATTCTTCCTATCCAAAATTATGGGATTAAATGCATGTCCATTGGATCTCTCACAAAAAGGGATTCAGCAGTTGTTTGGCGAGGCCTAATGGTCATGCAAGCTGTTCAAACTTTGCTACGCAAAGTAATAATGAGTTCTTTGTATTATTGACAATGCTAAATAGGTTGCATGGGGTCCCCTGAATACCCTTGTGATAGACACCCCTCCAGGCACTGGGGATGTTCATTTATCACTCAGTCAGAATGTACCTATCCGGGGTTCTGTTGTTGTTACGACGTCTCATGCATTGTCCTTATCCGATACTCAACGAGGAATTGAAATGCTTTTGAAGCTCAATGTACGTGATTCTGATGTTTGCCCACATCCAAATCCTTAAGTGCTTGTGCTCGAGGTTTTGTATAAACTTATCACTTTTCTTAGGTTCCTCTTCTAGGGATGGTAGAAAACATGGCTAGCTTCGTTTGTCCTAGTTGTAAGACTACTTCCAGTCTCTGGCATGCTGCAGGGTCGACGGAGGAAAGTGGCGCTGCAAAGCTAGCTGCTCAATATGATATTCCCTTACTCTGCCAAATTCCACTAGAGCCGGGCGTTTCAGTTGCAAATGAAACAGGCTTGCCAGTTGTTCTCTCTCATCCTGGTTCCATGACGACGGTCGCATTTATGGAACTCGCTGGGCGAATCAATACTTTGCTCAAGTAAATTGAGCTCCCTTTGTTTTGTATAATTCACTGATCTATTGCTTTTGCTATCTCTAGAGGGTGCATTTTACACAAATTTGATTTTAATTTCCACGTCTGTTTTGTTTACCCCTTGCATCATGTTTTTTATCTATTGTATCCTACTCGGCTGTATATTTGATATACATTACAAAATGTTTCGTCTGCCGTCTTTTCGAGCTGTAGCTTTTATTATGGTTCGTCCCATTTTCGGGATACTCGGCGTGGTGATATTAATCGTTTGTAGAGTGAACTGCGTTTTGTGAGAAACCAGTCTTGGTGATCGATAGGGCCACCGCACAAGCTTTTGGAAGATGGGTGGGGCCATGGTTGACATATGCTAATAAATGTTGCTGATCTAGTTCCTGTGACTCATTGAGCTCCCCAGGTGGCTTTTTGCCCAGCAGTACTTTTGCTCCCTGGTTTCCTAATTTGACATTACTGGGTCGAAACCCTCCAGTAATGACTATGAGTCTTTATTGGGAATTACTTAGTGGACTTAACCCTCTTTTGGGCGTGCGTAGGCTACTTTAGCAACCTTCATTGGTTTTATATTTTAACAGGCTTTGCTTGTCAAACAGCCTAACGCTGTGCACGATCTTTTCACGCCGGGTTGTGCTAGGTAATTTAATTTTACCTATTACATTTTTGCATTAAGAGGCGGAATTTTGATCACCAACAGGAAGTTTTACATATTTATGGTACGAGGAAGGTCATGGGTAACTGCTATGTTGCGAGTGACTATCCCAACGCAATGCGATAACGAGGAAGATGTCTGGTCGTTACCCACATAAAAGCGGCATTTTCGATGTCAAAGTCCGGAATACTGTGTTCCAGCTAATTCAGCTTGTATCTTCCCGTGACAACTATTGGCCTTTAGGCATACTATTTCGTCGTCGGGAAATCTATTTGCTAGTAGAGAAAGAATTTTAGAAGCAGTCTTATCATTTTCTAGGCTTGACTGAGTGCCATTCCCGCAGACCATGTGGATCTCATTATATTACATCAAGCAAGTCATGCTTTATAGGAGCTATTCCATGCACTAGATCACATTGTAAATACTCCGATTGTTCGAAAAAGGCTGACCAATAATCGGCAGGTTTCCAACTGTTTGTTTGCCTAATCAAATTTAAGTCAATTATGGTCAGAAGCATAGAGAACCTTAATCGACTTTGCTTATTTGAAAGAAAAAAATCTTGGTTATTAAAGAACACAGCTGTTCCTGACAAAATGTCAGCACAATATTTATTAGTAGGTGGTCAAAACTAAAATAGGTTTTTGAGTCGTGGAGAGAGACTGGGTGAGTGGTGGCATCTCCATACAATGCAGTCGTGGGGGTAATCGTGCTGAGGTAAACTTGATTTCCGTCTTGATCAACAAGCTCAACCTGAACCGGGGTTTGGTAGCCAGTTCCGTGTTTATACTAGTTGTATTTTGTTGAGTTTGAGTATGTCCGCTAAAAACGTATACAAACAGTTGAGTTATACGGGTGGCAGCCTCATTAGTAATACCTTCAGAGTAACTACTAGATGAGCTCCTGCAATCGCCATGGATCATTATGAATTTTTGTAATTGTCGCAGTGTAGCTAACTTAAATACATCAGGCAGCCAGTCTTATTTAAAAGTTGGTACAATATCTATACTATATGTCCTAGGCACCTTTTAATCCCTCAAAAGTTCCCGAAACGGATTTAAATTTTACTAATTTATGAATGAGAACGTCCGATCATAACTATTTAAAGGGCACAAAGGCAGCTTCTGTTTTGCAAGATGCCAAACATTGTTCCTGATCTTTACAGCATCTTCCCCTCAATTTTTATAAGCGTAACTAGAATTGAATGGCGGTTTATTAAAGACCTATATATTTATCAGTTAGTAAGCAAAATTGTTTTAATTAATCCTACTTTATTATTCATTTCCAATGCTCCAAAGAAATATTGGTATTTCAAGGTGCTCAGGGTATTTGAAACTTCGTGTGTAACTCTAGGATATGTATTTCCAGAAGATACGGCATCTGCTACAAGATTAATATCCCGCACGTGGAAACTAAATAAATTTAACTGATTTATTTAGAAGATCATTGTCTACTCATGTGTGCTAGTCCGAAGAACAATAGCATCCATAATTATTCCTTATCCTTATTTATTACTTATTGACTGCTGCCTCGTAGCCAGAAAAAATGCATGCAACAATGAAACATACAAGTGCACTGCTAAAGCCAATTGCAAATAGTAAGTAGATTGCTGGAATTTAGTCAATGTCCTTTAAAACGAGGAAGCTAAATTTTGAACGAATCTCAGATAACGAGCTTTTAAAGAATGAAATTTAGCTTCTAGTTGCCCAGATAACTTTCTGCTAGTATTGTAATCAATCAGGTTAACCAGAATTATCATTTGACATTTGAGCTATTCATGTATATAGGGTTTGTATTGTGCATAAAAGTGTGAATTTGTGTCGAATGTAGGAAACCAAATTGAAGCCCACGTGCCTTTAATTTATTCAAATCTAAAGCATCGTGGAATTAAAAGTTACTGAATGTTGATGTGCTCAGTTTAATTTCCCTCAAAGAATTTTAACTTGAGATAATGAAATATGTTAGGAGAAGAATTACACATATTGTTGTCTGTGTCGTAGGATGGCAAGCATGATGGTAGTAGACGTACGTGATAAGAGATCCTCTAACAAATTTACAAAGGACCATATCTTAGATATTCACGGATCATGATGCATAAATTTTAAGGCTTACTAGTTACAAACAATGCAGCTAGTTTTAAGGGGTATCTTTATGTAATATGGTATGTTTATGACAACTACACTAAATTATATTTTGTCAGGCAAGGTTATGCACGACGACTAAGATGTAAGCTACAACATATTTAATGTACACCTTCAGTCGCGTTAGGAGAAGTAAAAAAATATTTTGCAAGTTCTTCATCCTATGACGTGCTTACGTTTTTTTAGTACTTCAGGCAGTAGCAAAGAACCTACCTATTTAATCAATTCCAATGTTAAATTCCGAAAACAATTAATTAAAAAAGATAATTGCTTTATTATCAGTGCATAAAATTTTTTTTATCATGGTGCTAAATTAATTTTAGGATGCACTCAGAAATTCGTGGTGATGATAATTCGAACAAATCTCCATACCAACATTTCGTATTATCATTCGATCTATTTTGGTAGTTTTAGCCTAAAAACTGTATATAAACTGATATATAAGTGATGTACGCAATGAAGGCTACTAAGTCGACTGTTACAAATAATTTTTCAAAATATGCAATTATTCAAAAATCTATTAGGATCCAAGAGACAGTGCTCATTTTAAAGACTTTGTTAAAGCACGCCTAATTTAAAAAAAATTTAAACTTAAAAACGAATATTGATTGTGTGTAATTATTTAATTAATGCCATAGGAGCTTCGTTTTATTGACCTAAACCTTCTTGTTTCCCGAGGTCGTTGCTGCTGGTGTCCTTATTTGTTAGTATTTTAAAATATTCTATTTTGAGATTAAATTCAAATTTCCATTTGCTCGTATTGTGCGTAACATTGGGATTTCAATACTGTGGCTTAATTATATTTAACATCTAACCTTCAATCTGTGTTAGTAATCATGGAAACGTTTTAATTCACGTGTGTGTTAATTCGGCATCACTGTCCAATTTTCCCAATACGATCAACTAGAATTACAGTGTCTAATTCCTCGCTGCCACACGTTTTTTAGTAGATACGTTAGGAAAATTTGGTTTGGTTAAAGGTTTTGTCCAAATACAGTCAATTGCTTCCAGCTATGATTATGAGGACTGCCGTTTTTTATCATGATCACCAATTTTACGTTAATGTATCTTGAGCCTTAGTGTAGGCACGAAAAATCATCGCTGAATGTTGCTTGAGCATTTTCCACACATCAAAATTTATTTTGAGTCAATTATTGTAACATTAACAGTGGTAATGTGTTTCATTATTATAACTTGGTTTATACGTTTATCACATCTTAAGCTAAATCGCTTGGTAAATTCAAGTTAATTTGGTGCACGTCATGCTTTCTCCTTGTAAGTCATTTTTTAGCATTGCTTTTAACTTTCTCAAAACTGAGAGTTCAGGTTTGTAACTATTTTAGGCCTATTTCTTTCTTGCGCTCTTGTTCATGTTCCTTACATTAACAATCTGAACCATAATTTGTGATTGTCATCTTGCGTTTACCTTTTGACATTGAGCTCAGTGTTGGTCTTTGTGCTTTTCTATAAATGACGTTTCTTTACACCTTATTCTTTGATGGGCGCCTTGTTCAACGTTTGGGTTATATATGTTGAAGTATTCACGAAAGGTCATCAAGTACAGTTCATGAAGAGAGAAGACATAAATAATAAAGGTCATTTACTTCCTTTTCAGTTAAATACTGATCCTAATCATTCGACTTGAAATGATCGTCTTTTTCCTGCAGTCTACATACGTTTGTCTATGTACACGGAGAACTGGTGTTAATACTTTTGTTCATATCCTTGCCAACAAATTTTACTTATGAGCTAACTGACATTGGAGGCAATAAAAAGCAGTTCATTTGTTCCAGTTGATCTCCGAACAATCGAAATTAAAAGCTGAATCATCTGTTTGCTCACTGTTGGTGAATCAGCCATTTTTCAACTTTAATAACATTCATCTTGCGCTCATGAACCTGTTTCAAACTCTGATTGCTTAACCCACTTTTAGTTTTGAAATTTTCTTCTGAAAAATAATTCTTAGTGCTCTCTGTTTTAGGTTTCAACAAAATCCGCATGGAGCAGCTGAGGTTTGAAATTATTTTTTATGCGTAAATTTACTAGATCTTTGTTCTATGAAACCGAAGCTCAGCATGAATTCATGAGCGGAATTGTGCAGCAAATAGTAACTGATTTCGAGCGAAAAATTTTGCAAGACCTTGTTTCTCAAAGCACGGTCCCTTTTACCGTGTTAAAGTGCTTGGACGAGCTCGTACGTACAATCGA